GTCCCGCCTCAATAATCTGGATGCCGACGATCACCCCAACCCACCTCCGGCGAATGGCCTTGCTTATACGATTCATGCTGATAACAAGTCTGCCATCGAGCTATCCTCTTCCGAAGCGATTCCGCGCCGATCGAAGCATATAGAGGTCCGATTCCATATCCTTTGGGATCTCGTCCGCAAGAATGAGATATCGGTCCGGTACGTCCCATCCGCCGAGAACGCGGCAGGCGGGTTAACCAAGCCGCTCGGAATGTTGAAATATACGCGTTGGAAGGAGATTATTAAGATGAAGGGATAGGGGGGTAAAAATTGATGGATTTGATGGCTGGTTTTTTTTTTTTAACTACTTCGTTTTTCCAGTTGTCTTTGTACCTGTACTTGATTTGAAGGCAAATTTTGTATGTAGCATTGTGTATAGTTACTATGGTGAGTGGGGGTGTCAGGTCAACTGCCCTGGCTTAGTAATCCTTCCACCATATAACTTGCCACGGAGCTAGCAATCCTTCAATCAAGCAAGCTTTACACCTTCCACATCTTCTACTATCTTCTGCTTCTCACTCTCCATACTGTTATCACCCCTCACAGAATTATTATACGCTCAGAGGAGTGAATAGTGGAAGATAGTAAAAAGAAGGAATAATAAAAATGATATTAGTAGATAGTAGCAAAGTGGTTAGTAGCCAACCGCTAGAGAGGAAAGAAAAGGAACATGCGTATAGATATTTGCATACATAGCAACAGTGGCAGCGAGAACAGAGTAAGAAAGGGAAAGAATAAACGAAGATAAATAAATAGAGATATATAAGGAAATAGTAAACGAGTGTATTTACATATATACTCTTTTTTATTTAAATAATATAATGTAAATACTACTTGAGTAGTGAAAGCTTCTAAGTGTATAATACTTTTTAAATAGAAAAATATCAATAGTATATAGTATATAAGAAAGTGATATACATTTCAAAAAAATAATAAATTAAAATTACTCACTGTTAATTTCGTTCTGCTCCGGGGCGGCTGCTTCGGGCCTGTTTTCAAGCCAATTTCGGCCGGTCCAGCGCAAGGCACTCCGTCCACGGCCCGCCGCCCCAACCGCCACGCCCCAACCACAGTGCACACGTGATCTCGTGCGCCTGGCCAACGATCAGTCGTCTCGCGCGCGCCTGCTCTCTCCCGTTGGCGTTCTGCCTGCTGGCGTTCTGGTCACTTCCATGGCCGCGGTCCTTTTCGTTCAGGGCCACCAGAAACGGCTCCTCTCGATCTTCGGCCTCCTTTTGCGTCGCCCTCCTCACCCTGCCCATCCGCCTAATCATGGCTCTATATAATGAGCGCCAGCCGCCCCCGATGGCCTCGAGCCACCACTCCTGCAATCCACATCAAAAGAATTCCTCCACCCGCACACCCAGCAAGCCTGCCCTTCTGCGCGGCAAAACACATCTGCTGGTGGTCTCCGCCCCTCTGTCCTGTCCTCATCGCTACTTCTCCCTCCCATCGTTTTATCAACCGTCATCGGTCCGGACCTCCACGGCGCCGTGAACATGCCCAGGCGTCGTCGAGGCCGGCCGACCTCCAGCAGCGGCAGTGGCACGACTGACCAGTTATCCCCCTTCGCTACGGACAGCGAGTCCGATCGAGGATATGAGAACGAGCTGACAGAGCCCGATTCGGACGCACCTTGCGACAGACGGAAGGTCAAACGCAGGCGTCGACGATTGCGCTACAAGCCCAACACACCGGTCCCCAAGGGCGCAGCTGTCTCTGTTACAGACGACTCCGACGATGATACGGACCCCGAGGATGATACGGACGACGAGATATTGTCGGAGGACGAGGATGACGACTACGCCTTTGGCACCAGGAACAATATCGCTCGGCTGGAGGATCACTGGCAGCGGTCGGCTCTCCCCCTCTCCCTCTCTGAACCCCAACCTCCGTGATCCAAGACTGACGGGGAACCATCTCCAGATACTGCAGGAAGAAGGCGAAAACCTCCGCGGACCCCAAGTGGCAGGATCCGGTCGACGCTCTCCGCGCCGCAGGGCGACGCAATCTGTACCTGTTCCTCAACTGGCGTTTCAAACTGAAATTTGGGAAGGGCGGCCGTCGACTGAAGGGGACGCGCAAGTCAAGCTCCCTGGATGGCGACTGGAAGAACTTCTTGCGCTATCATGAGGGTGCCACTGGCACCAAGCTCGACGGACGGCTGATGCGGCTGATGCGGAAGGTAAGTCCCACCCCTCATCGGGCGCGCCGATCGACGAGGCTGATCGCCGTGGAAGAGCCTTCGGCGGCTGGCCAAGAAGCACGGGCTGGATACACAGCAGAAAGAGAAGGACCCGGTGTACGTCGAGGACACGGCTACGCTTCAGAAGACTGGCTTGCGGACGCAGGAGAAGAGATTCTGGCTTGGGCTGCAGCGGATGCAGATTTGCCTCTACAACTTGCTGGGCCTCTTCACGCTGAACCGGAAAAGCGCCATCCTCAACCTGCGATTCAAGGACCTGCGGGTGTCGCTCCAGCGCGACCCCAGCGGGGGGCCCCACCTTCCGACGGTGGAATTCAGCTACGAGTTTACGAAGAAGCACCTCGGTCTCACACAGACGTAAGTTCTCCCTGATATCATCCCCGGACATGCACACTGGCCTGACATTTGACCAGGAACACGTTCACCCTGCCGGAGATCATCTACGAGCCGTCTCTGATCCTCAGTCCGCATATTTTTCTCTTCGGCATCCTGTTCTTCTTCGAAGCGTTCAGTCCTCCCAGTCTAACCTCAATGGCCAAGCTCAGGGGACTGAAGATCGAGGGCGGCCGACAGCAGCTGCTGATCCCGCTGAAGCCAGAGATGGCAAATCACTATGTCTTCTGCAGAGTGGCGAAGGAGGACGGCGAGGTCCGCATCTTCCCTGAAGAAATGATGGACCCTTCGTCCTCGGTCCGTTCGATGGCCGAGATCGCCGGTTTTCTGCACCCCTGGTTCAACCATCGCTTCCGGTATGGTGGGGGTCTGATCCTCAACAAGAGTGGTAAGAAGACGCCCTCATCTCTTTTCGCCCAGATAGACGCTGACACGGAACCAACCATGCAGGGTTGGTCGGCGATGCCGAGCAGAATCTAGTCCTGAAGCATGCCAGCATCCGCACGTTTCTGGATCACTATATTCCACGCAGGGTGGGCCTCAATATGCAGGCACTGATCAGCGGCTTGGACCCCAATGCCCCTCTGATACGAGCAATCACGCGGATCGGCCGCTTTCTCGACAAACGGCGTCCACGGCATCTGACGGATGCGCAGAAGGCGATCGTGGAACAGGACCCAGAGCTGCAGGAAGCCATCCAAAAGAGAGACCGGGCCAAACGGCGTGCCGTGCAGACCAACGATCCCGAGGCAATTGAGAAGCTTGAAAAACGAACGGCCGACGTCAAGAAGACAAGAAGGCGGCTTCTCTATAAGCACCGGAAACGGGTTCGGGAGGAGTTCGACGACGAGCAAGCCGTGATCGACATCGAACGGCAGCTCTCCGGCGAGGCGGTGGACGAGGAGGCAAAGGAGACGCTACGGGATGAACAGCTGCTCCCGCAGATGATCTATCTTTTTTCAAAGCTCCTGACATGGCCGACATCCAGATCGGTGGAGGAGGAGTTGCGGCGACGGGATGCCGGTGCTGATGCCGTTCAGATGTACTGTGGTGTCCTCGAGGGTGGGCCGCGCCGAGGACGGAGGCCAAAGCCCCCCCCACCGCCGCCGCCACACCCCCCGCAGGCACCCGATGGCACCAACGATAGGAATGATGCTCACGGCGAGGTTACCTCTGCTGGGGGGTGGGATGATGCTCTCCGCGCCGCCAAGGATCATATCCGCGACGCGAAGCAGCCCCGGGGTTGTTTTGAGTGTTACGCGCACCCCGGGTCGTCGGATCACCGGCGCATTCATCGATACTCGCGGCCTGCGGGCCTGGGCCGCCATTTCCGGGATGAGCACCTCCGGCATCTCAAGGACGGGGAGCCGGCGTGGTGCAGCTGGTGCGAGATCAAACTGGAACACAGGATGCATGTGCAGAACCATGCGAAGATAGTCCACCGTGTGCATACATAGGCCGCAAGAGAGGGAGGGTCTGTGGGCTCCCACGAAGGTGAAATTACGAGCTCGTCTACTGGAGTTGGTAAGGGGCAGAATGTATGGGAGACTTATGCTTTGTTGGCTTGATCAACTCAAGGGTCCTTTCTCACCAAATACAATTCATTTCTAGATCACCGTTCACCCATCCGCTTCCCACTCTTCCCTTCGGTAGAGATGGCCGTGATGGCCTTGACAACCGGCCTGTCAATCTCTCCTTCTCTACTTATCTATTTGTTTTCCCTTTCTTTTCATTTTGACTTCCACTCTCCTGGCTAGTTATGAATACCGTACTCTAATTATTGCCATTATGATAGAATAAATAAAAAGATTAAAGATCACCCCAGTATTGAAATTTGATCTCACGTCGACCTATCAATTGCATGACCGGATATGAAAACATCTTAAGCACTCAAAGCTATGGCGCTTGCTGAACCCTGAAATTGTGACTTCTTCCAAGAATCAATAGTACCGCGCCACCACTTCACTGACTCCCGGGGGGAACCATTTAGGGCGTTCCCGGCAGATGGGCGAGATGTGGAGCAACAGTTGACTCGACTATACTAGCCACTGCTCCAGTATCACCTAAGTAATGCAAGAGAAGGCAGATGGATAAACGACTGTGTATTACAATGTCAAATAAAGATATGAGCGGTTTGATATCCCATCTTCTGTTAATTGCGTGTTGATGGTCGAGGACGTAATGTGCTCAGACGTCTCTTTCGCAGCTCCTTCCTTTGTTGTTTCTCCTTCTTCCTCTCCACCTCCTCCCTTCTTTGTTTCTCCTGCTTCCGCAGCTGGAGCCTCGCATTTTCGGGGAGCCAATTGTCCGGGAGATATGTTTCCACGACATAAAGCACACAGTGAACATGTTTATTTTTTTGTCACACTTTTTCAACATGACAGATCTTAAGACTCTTTCCAATCTGCTGCACCCAATACCAATAGAGAAGATTCTTCAACTCCTCATGAGCCAAAGGTTCTGTTATAGCCTCAGAATCTGAGATATTGTTTCTGTTGTCAGGTTCGATTTCACCAGAAGGCTGAGACTGATTATTTGAGATCCTGTCAACAGACAGCTGCTTGGGCGGGATGTCAAGGGAAGCTGCAGTCTTAGATGAGAAATTGAAATAGAAGATCACCTTGAGGAGCAAACCAGACAATGGAGAGGGGGAGGGATGAACATGTCATATTACTCTTACCAGAGATATAGAACAGCGCCTCCTGATAAAGGTCATCCAGCATCTCACAAGCTTGAACAGTGGATTGCAGCACACCGGACAACAAAAGTTGACTGGGTAGTGGCGGGCGGTCCTCAGTTCCTTGTCTATTCATGCTGAAGAGATTCAGAGTAGGGAGAGAATATTTGAAGCAGAAAAATGATTTGGAGAAGAGCGAAGGCTGAATGAGAAGGGAAGACCCTTTTATAGCCTCTTATATCTCAACTCCATGTTGGTTCGACTGGCCGCACTGTCCGTCAGCAATCCCTTCCACCTGATCACCTGGTTCTTACTACCTTGGAACACCAGGGTGAGCTGATCTGATACCCATCTCACTGCACCCTCTCACAAAAAGAGAACAGAGGTGAAGTCAGGGATGCTTTTCATTACCTGCCAGCTCCTTGTCCCTCACCTTTATCAATTGGAAGAAAGAATCCCGAAATTTGCCGGTTCAACTTCCCTGGAGATTTTAAGTCTGAACTGGTCGATACTGGCTGGACAAGAATGGAGCTCAAGTTTGCTTGATCTGGCGGCGCCCTCCTCGCTTGCGCCCGGGGCCGGTATGAATGAAGCACAGGCTGCATTTTGCATCTCATCTCTCATGGGATCGCCAAGACGCATTCGTGAGTATGCATATCAAAAATTGACAAGCCTCAATATAAGTTGCGCTTCGGATATTGCTTCGTGTTGAGTGATTTCGCTTACACTAGAGACATCCATGGGCTCGCACAGAGGCGAAGCCAGGCGCACAAATAGTTACACTATTGTTATACAGACTCTGGACTTGCATGTCGCACTCGCCGTCCGGGATTGAGATATCTCTCTCCCAGGGTGATCGCCACAAGTTAGTTCAAGTTTTAGCATCGATGCTCGAGGTAGGGCAACATCTCTGCACGGACGTGGCGTTTTCCAGACACAAGATGGCCCTTGCCCATGTTTGGCGAACACGGCTGAAAGACATCCTTGGAAGAGGTCCTGGCACCATCACCGTGTAGTCTCGGGATCGCGCCACAATTTTGAGTGTCTATCAAATGGGCTTGGCTACGAGGGCACTATTCCCAAAGCGGCAGCTTCCATGGAAGCTGCGGCTTTGGGAACAGTGCGAATGGCTGCATTTAGCATTAAGTATCCTTGCCCGCCGCCTCTTTTGGATCAGAGACACAGGATCCCCAGGTGTTCGGACCCACGATCATGCTTTTGACTGGCATGCATGGTTGGGTGAAGCTCGGCCTTTCTAATGCATGCCATTCCCTAACACCTTGTCCCCGGCCCCATTGATTGTAGGAAAAGGTATGGTGGTTTGTCGATTTGACTTCCTGGCGCGTGGCCAGGGGTGAAAATAAGGGTTGATTAAGTTGACTGGTCGATATTGACTGGACAAGAGCCCAAGTTGGCATGGAGGTGTGGTCAGGAGCACTTCTGCGTTGATCCACCCCATCAATGCAACACTCCTCAGTTCCGCGGCTTCTTTGATGTGGATGATTGGTGATCCACGCAAGATGCTCAGCTACTACTTTTCCTACCCTCCTTGATTAGCCTCGACCTATTTTTGTTCGCAGGCGGGTGCTGAACGTGGGACATATAAACACATCAAGGGCCTCCTGGACCGAGATCGAGGGGAGAAGAGCATCCCATCATCTCATCTCGCAACATGGCTACCTTCACGTACGACATCACCTCCCCTGGACCTGCCGACGGTTCTCCCTTGCCTCAGCTGCACACAGTGTACACTCCTGATCCTCGGTCAGACGAAGCGCCCCAGCACCTCCTTCCAATGCCCTTCTCTGCGTCCGGTGACCTCTCTAAGGATGCAGCAAGTGAGGTATTTGCTGATTTTTCTGCCCTGCCCGTCTCTGGTCTCGATGAGATTAACTGGGACGAATGGAATTTGTTCGACTCCCCCCCAGTAGATATTCCCCCACCGTCACTCCAACTGTCGCATTTCTCTGACGACCCCATCGAGGAGGCCCACCCAAGCCCGAACAACGTTGCTGATGACCCACCCAATCAACGAGAGCCAACCCCTTCCCTGGCCCCACAAGATCGTGAAGGCAACACATCGAAGGAGCCGTTGAATTACTCCGATAGTTCCATCGAGGCTGACCCATGCCCGGGCGAGGAACGCCACGTCCAAGTCCACCGATCATCAGAGCAAGGTATCCCCCTGGTGTCCGGCTGTTGGGAAGGCGATGCGTTGGGGGAGACGCTTGATAATCAGGAATACATTATCTTGCCCCTTTCTCAGGTGAAGATTCTGAAGCTGGTGTTTAAGTGAGACGGGGATGAGATGTACCAGATAGTAAGAAGGATAGATATACAAGAAACACAGGGATATGGCACACAAGGAGAGCTGTGGAAGTACTCAGGTTCTGCTGGTAAGGCTCAGCATCTGCTCCGCGAAAAACATTTCTCACACCTCCCTCACTCTTGCAGACGACCCAATCATCATCGATGAGCCAATGAGTCCCACCAACTTACCTTGTGGTTCTGATCAGTTTGTCGCCATTCCATCCCTTCAACGGAATATAGAGAAGGTTCCAGAAGGTTACAATGTGTATGCCAATATGACATTGGACGATTTGCAGGAGCATGGAGGGTTGGAACTGCTGGTAGTTTACTACTACCGGAATAATGAACGTCGCCGAACGAGGTCACGTGGATTATATCCAGCACTACTGCAGGGAGATGGCTCAACCTTTCCACTTCTAGTTAGTTAGCTGCTTAAATTTGTTTTGTACAATAGCCAGTAAAAACCCCCCAATTGAAGTCTCACAAACGGTCTCCTTAAAAATATATTTCCCTCCCATAGAGGGAGAAGGCACTAACTGTTCTTATTCCCAATCCTTAAAAGCTCGTACAAGTAGAGGTTGGAAGGGGCAAGCAATACCTCAAAACTAGAACAAAACCACAACCAACAATGATGTTTCTACCACTGACTAAAAATGAGGAGAAAACAGCTCTACCTAATCCTAATAGCTCTTGAGAATACCAGTGATAGAACTACGACACTTTGGACAGTCATCGCCAATGGCCTTACCACTTCTGGAGTGGTGTGTTAAAGTTGACGTTGTCGGACAGCGGATATAAGTGATCCCCTTCAAAACCTGATGCTCCAGCACGCCAGCATCGATACATTCGTCAAACACTATCTGGATCGAAACATCACCGCCGATGTTCTCAGCATCTACCGTGGCCTCGAGCCGCAGAAAGCGCTAATGAGGATGGTGTGCTCGATGAGCCGGTCCATCGACCCCCGCCGCCCATGGAAGCTGACGCCGGAGCAGTCGAGATCGGTGAACCACCTGCCCCACATCCTGAAGATCTCTCGGAGGGTTGAATATCTGAAGAAACGCCGCGACTCTGCTGCAAGCTGGCTCCATGGCAGGATCGGACAGAGGTACCGGCGGAAGGCCGAGGCCGACGACCGATGGGAGAAGAGGTACAGGCGCCGGGTTGAGGAGCACAAGAGATGGGACCAAAGGCATCACAAAGCCGTTCGCCGGCTCCGCGGTGCGAAGCAGCGCGCGAGGACGCTGCTCAAGCGTGAGATTCTGGAGCGGTACCGACAGGAACAGCCAGTGATCGACAGCGAGCGACAGCTATCGGGAAAGGTGGTCGATGAGCACGTTAGAAGTGAACTGGAGCGGTACATGCCACCTGAGCTGATGATAATGATCGACGCCGTCCTGACGTTGCCGCCAACCACTTCAGCGGCGGAACTACAACGACGGATCAGGGCCATCGACGCGGTCTCTGCATACTGCGGTGTGGAGGAAGGCCCCATCTGCCGTCGGCGTGGCCGTGCCTCCGGCCCCAAGCCAACCACAGCGAAACCGACCGCCCACAGGGCGGAAGCGATTGGCCAACCATCATCAGACATGCTCCTGGAGTCAGCCGCTCGAGCGGTTCGGATGGAACCCCGACCGAAAATATGCTTTATCTGTCTGCAGAACACCAACCTCGTGCTGTCGGATCGGGTCTATTCATTCAGTGGACTGGGAGACCTCACCAAACATTTCCAGAGGCGGCATCTGGATAAGTTCCGGCCGCTGGATTGCAATATGTGCAATGTGAGGCTCGCAACTCTGAAAGAGCTTCTGGTCCATGCGGAAACTGCACACGGAACCGTTACACGTTCGCCCAAGTACAGGATGCTCGCACAATCCGGTGAACCCGGTGCCCCGACTGGCTGTCTGCCACCGAGCTCCCAACCATCTTGGTCCCCGCGTGGCAACCAGTGCGAGGAGGCCAATCATCAAGGTGGGAGTTCCATGTGTGCCTGGAAGCCCCCGCTCGTCTCACAGATCATTCGCAATTCCTCACGCCCCCACCTGCCTTTCCGTTTCCCTTTCGCATTCAATTAAGGATAAAGTATTGCCATTGCACAACCCTTTTTGGCTTCGGCACAAGCGGTTATATACTGTTTCTTTGCTCCATCTTTGCAGCAATACCCGCTGGTCGGCATTGGCTCTATTTAAATATAATTGTTTTTCATTACTAGATATTTTTTATCGTTCAGCTCATTCAAAGATGTATGCAAATTCCTATCTGCTAATACCGTTGCAATTGCGACGCTCAACATTCTAGGATATTGGATAATTAGTAATTTCAGTAATAATGGCAATAATGGCAATTGCGATAGCGGTTGGTATCTCAAGCAATAATGATACCAGCTTCATATCTCGATTACATTCGTTTAACTGTACATCTCATATGAAAAAAGGTGCCTAGTAGCTCTTGATAACACCAGTGATAACCTGGCGACAAGGGGAGCAGGTTCCACCAATGGGGGGAACACATTTCGGGCAATACCGATGTCCACACAGAAGGGTCCGCCACCCTGACGGGATGGTAAAACAGATCTGGCATCGACATTGATCTTTCAGCTCACGGACTTTGGTCTCAAGCTTGTCAACCCGTTCATCCTTCCTAGTCATTTCCGCACGCAGGCGCTGCACTTCTTTCTCCAGCGCCTCTCTCTGCGCATGCTCCGCCTTGAAAATTTTATGGATTTCCTGGTTCGCGGTTTCCTATCTCATTATCAGCCAAGAAGGAGCCCCGCCATGGACCCTACAGGGAGGAGTCTTACCAATACCACGTCCAGGTTACGTCTTTTCGGTGGCTGGGACATTTCGGATGGTGCCGGGTCGTCAAATTGAGCCCCATACATTGGATAGCTGTAGTCTGTGCGGAGTCTCTTTCTTCGCAGCTTTCGCGCTGGGGGCTGACGTTCATCCATCTCCGAATCTGAACTGATGATGACAGTGTGATGAAGACCGTCGTGGGGAATATCAGCTGACGCCATGATTGAAAGATGGTGGAGCACCGCTGTCGGTCTTTTTATGTTCGCTCGGTCGTCCTCGAGTACGCAAGGGCCTCTCGGTGGTTGGTGTTTCGCGGCGGTGTAGGATGAGTCGAGATAATAAGGAGGAGGGAGGAACGGAAGGGCTTGAGGGGGAAACCACGCATATTTATACCCGGTAGGCACAGCCGCCTCACAGGACCATCCACGGCTGGTGGCAGCTGCAGGGGGTTGGCCGCAGGAAAGCTGAGCCGGCGCCGTATATCGCCTGTCTTAGGGAAATCATGCCCCCAGGGAGAGCAGTGTCCCCAGGGAGAGCGGTGTCCCCAGGGAGAGTAGTGTCCCCAGGGAGAGCGGTGTCCCCAGGGAGAGTAGTGTCCCCAGGGAGAGCGGTGTCTTCTTCTTCTTCTTCTATTCAATTTAACGTCCGGCCCAGCCGCTTTCCGCAGCTATGCAGACGATGGGTATCTATAGCTAATATACATCATATAATACAGTCTAGATGGTAGCCAAGGTCCTCCAGTGGGTCCCCCTGACTCCTGTTTGTCCTATAAACCGAAAGAACTCAGTGCATGCCTTATCGTATTTTGTCCTCCGTAATTGCTCCATATTGCCCGAGGAGTCTAGTTAAGATCATAAATCTTGCAGCCTTCTTAGCTAGCTTAGGCGTGGTCAGGATCTCCTTGAGATCGAACCTATCCCTTCTTCCTTCCCCGTTTTCCCATGTTTCCGCTCTGAGGTTGTTAAACCTAGGGCACGCTAATAAGACGTGCCGTACTGTTTGATTTCCGCCACCGCATTCGCATAGGGTGTCAGTGATCTCTGGCACCTTTCTTTCATATAGGAATTGTCGTAGTCCAATCTTGCCGGTGCGCATCTGTACGATGGTGGAACTGAGGGCCTTGTGTAAGGAGTGGTGTAGATGGAGGACCGTAGGGCTTGGTGCGGGTGTGAGCGCGTAGGTGGCTCGCCCCGATGACTCGTTCTCCCAGTCCCGCTCCCACTGTACCTGGGTCTGGCGGTGAAGTTCCGACTTGGCTGCGGATATCAGGTGTCTTAGGAAGTCAGGTGTAGCTGCGGTATCGTCAGTGTCCACTGTGATCATCCTCCCTCTTCTGCCTCGTTGTTGTCTGCAGCCCGTCGCTTCCTTTGCGAGATTATCCGCCAATTCATTACCTTCGATTCCTTGGTGCGCCGGGATCCAGTAGAATTCCACCTGAAGGCCCTGGGAGCGGACCCTGTCTAGAGCATCTATGATCCTCCGAAGTATGGATTGACCGGATGATCTTCTGGGGTTTTGGAGAGCCTTTAGGGCTGCCTGGTTGTCCGTGAAGATTGCTGCTCTGCGTCGGTCCGACGCTAGGATTAGGTTTAGGCCCATGTGAATGCCAAGAAGCTCGGCTGCATAGACGGTGGTAGACGTTTCCTTGCCGAGATAAGCGAGTTCTTGGGTGTGGATCGACGGCGCTAATGCAGCAGCCCCCACTTTCCCGTGTATGCCGCTACCGTCGGTGTAGACTGCCAGTGGTGGGTCGGCTCCGCTGATAATGTGTGTGTGCAGTCGTTCCGCCGCTTCTCGTCCTTCCGTGATAGTGATCGTGGGCGCTCTCCACCACGGCTTTACCGGGAATGGGATCCGCGACTCCAGATGACTGACCGCTCCTTCTCCCAGTTTCATCACGAGGCTGTGGTAGAGGCGTGTTAGGGGGCTGGTGGGGGAGTCTCCGCGTATCGGTGGGGTCCATGCTGAGGTGCTGTTGTCGTCTTCGTTCTGGAACTGGCTGCCGGTGAGGATATTCAGTGCTGCGTGGTGTGCTCGCTCCTCCAGCTGCAGACGCAGAGGCGTCATGAAGAGCTCGACATCCAAGGCCGCGCCCGACGCTGCTCGGTATGCGCCTCCTACGATCCTCGCCCCTTCTCGTTGAATCCTGTCAAGGGTTGTGCGCATCTTTTCTGTGAGCCCTGCTTCGCCGCGCGGTGTATGCCACACGGAGCAGGCATATGTGATCTGTGGGACCACTATGGCCAGGTATGCCAGCCTTAGCGTGGCCAGCGCTGATCCCCACGTTGAACCTGCCAGGGACCTCAGGGCATTTAACGTCAGTGACGTCCTGCTTTCGATATGCTGTATCTGAGGGCCCCATCGTAGCTGCTGGTCCAACATGACGCCCAAGTAGCGGACCTCTTTCATCGGAGCAATCGTTAGGTCTGATATGGTCAAAGCCCGTTGTACATCGTGTCTCCTTGGATTTCGCGTGAGGTGGATGAGTTGGTATTTTTTGAGGTCGAATTTTGATCCGTGAGTGGCCGACCATGCCTCCGCTCGTCCATGCATTCTTGCTAACTTTCTACAGTTCTCGTCGGTGGTGCAGCTGCTGGTGAAGAAGTAGATGTCGTCGATCCAACCTCCGGCCGCTGCCCCGGTCACCCGGAGGGGCGCGTCTTCCAGGATGTCAGCGTTGTAGAAAAGGTAGAGCACTGGAGAGATCGGGGAACCCTGTGGGATCCCGGTCTCCACTTGGAGAGGTTCTGTTGTGTGCTCCCGTAGCTGTATAGTAGTTGTCCTGTTTCGTAGAAAGCTCGCTACCCATCCAACTATCCTTTCGTCCATCGTTCTCTTGCGCAGGTTGTGCAGAAGCCTGGGGTGAGAGACATGGTCGAAGGCACCTGTTACATCCAGCAGGAGGAGACTGGCTACCTGATCGTTGTCCCAAGACTGATAGATCAGCTCCATCAGACCATGAAGCGCGTGTTCCGTCGACATTCCCTTTCTTCCCCCTAAGTGCGTGCGTGGGAGGAGCTGGTGTTCTTCGACCGCCTGAGAGATCCTTGTTGCCAGGATGGACTCCAAGGCTTTACCAAGGGTGTTCAGCAAGGCTATCGGGCGGTACGATTTCACCTCTGACAGGTCTTTCTTGCCGGGCTTGGGTAGCACCACCGTCTTGGCTTGTCTGAAGTGCGCTGGGCAGTATTGTAGGTCCAGGGATGCGTTGTAGATCTGTAGTAGATGGGGTGTCAGGTAGGGGAGCAGTCGTTGAAGTATGTGTGCCGGGATGCCGTCCTGTCCCGGTGCTTTCTTGGCGGCCATGGATCCGATTGCTCGAGTTATCTCCTGTTCTGTGATAGGGGGAAAGGTAAGTTGGTCGCTGTACCTTTGGTTTGTAGTGTCGGACAAATCCACATTAGGTTGGGGTGGGAAGAACGTCTCTTTGAACAGGTTTGCCTTGGCTTGGTGGTTGTGCTCCAGGCTGTTGTCGCTTCGGCGCAGTGGTGGTGTGAACGCCTGTCTTGTCCCTCGTCTGCGGGCCCATCTCGCCAGCCTCCAAAGCCCGTGTGGCGAGTCGCTCACCTCCCTGACCCTTGCTCGGTAAGCGTCGCGGAGTGTCTTTTTGATGAGTCTCCCTTTGTAGTTCCTGGCTTGGCAGTACGCCTCCCAGTCGCTCTCGAGGCGCGTCCTCTGGTATCGTCTTCGAAGGCGTCTCGCTGTCGTCTGTGCTTCCTTGCACTCCTGTGTCCACCCGGGGATCGAGCGGTCACTTGGTTTGGCCTTCGGCGTGGAGGCATCGATGGCTCTTGTTATAGCGTGAACTTTTCCTTGTACTCGGTGGTCCACCGACGCCTCCGAGTCCAAGACGGTCGGGTAGGGTAGATTCCTCTTGAGTTCTAGTTCCAGCGTCTCTGTGTTCGTCCGTTGCCATTGCCATTGGTCAGGTGGGTCGCATGTCTCAACCGCCGTCATGATTGTTACAGCAATTGGTTGATGGTCCGATTGGTGGTCGAGATCTTCCCTGAGCCCGCAGTAGGCTTTCCTCTCGTGGATCCACGGTGTACCGAGAGCAAGATCGATCGTGGTTTGTCTATCGTGTTCATCGTACGTGGCCGTCCCCGGAGGGATCAGGAGTTCCAGTTGCTGGTCGGCCATGAGCGAGACCAGCTCCTCCGCCTCAGCGTCCTGGTCGCTACGTGTACCTCCCCAGAGTGGGTGATGGAGGTTGAAGTCCCCAACCACGATCTGTTTCTCACTGTCGGCTTCGGTTACCGTTGTGCGCAGGAGGGGGATGGTGCTGTTCCCTGTGCTGGTCTCCGGGTTGTATAGGTTGTGGATATGGATTGTGTCCTCGGGCGCCTCGGTGCACTGGATGGAGACAGTGCAGAAGTCAGGAGAGGGGGTAGTTGCGGTCCATCTGCCGCGCGGTATTCTTCTGTTTATAAACATGCACGTCCTGGTGCCTGGGTCATCCAAGTACACCAGATCGAAGGATTGAGGTCGTGGGTAGTGGGTTGTGTTGGTGAAATTGTTCCGCCACGGTTCTTGTATTGCAATCACGTCGAACTCCTTGATCCTCTCATCCCTCAGCAGGCTGGCCATGACCTTGTTCTTGGACTTCCTGACGTTGTACTGCAGTATGGATAGGCTGCTTGTACTACTCATCGTTCTGCGTCATTTCGAGGTCGGTCAGTGCGGGGTCTATGAGGGCTGGGTCTACAGGGGGTTGTTGGGATGCGGTTCTGGAGCGAGTCATTATCGGCGAATCTCTGTTCGGTGTGTATTCCTCGTTTTCAATTCTCATTTCTCTTTCCCGGTCCTCCATCGCTCTGTGCAGGCTCATTTTGTTCAGCACAAAGACTTCGGAATCTTCCTGCGTGAAGTTGTGAAATGTGGTCGATTGCGGGTTCCGTCTCGGTCGTGCGGTGGTACGTTCAGTCGGCTGGGCTTCCGCGGGACGTTTGCGTTGGTCCAGGGTTTGTCGTAGGGTACCGCCGGTGAACAGGGGTATGGTAGGGCGGGTGGCAGGCTGTGCCACCTTGCTTGTGGCGTCGGGTCTGATGTAGTACGAAGGTCGATTTCTCCTTGCTTGTTCAACCTTCGCTATCTCTGCTTGGCGGGTGAGGCAGTTGTTGCTCCACGCTGCGTGTGGCCCTTTGCAGAGTGCGCACTTAGGTGTAGAGTTTGGATCTTCTTCTCTCTTTCGGCAGTCCCTCGTGTTGTGGGGTTCTGCACAGTATCCGCATGTTTCATTGACGTTGCACTGAGTTCCAATGTGGCCGTATTTCTGACACTTGTAGCATTGCTTCAGCTTGCAGCTTCTGTCGTAGAGTTCACAGTGATGGTAGCAGGCATCCAGGACCAATCCCTCTCTGATCGCTCGGTCTGCATGTTCCTTGGTGGTGAATTCCAACACCAGTGACGAAGTCGGTTTCTTTGCTCCCGTCCTCGTGAGCCATCCTACGTAGGTGATCGTTGCTCCAGGGTGTAAAGTTGCATTCTCTGTTTGGATCTTCTCGATGGATCGTGACTGGTTGCTGGGGTCTATGTTCTCCTTATCCGTACAAACTGAGTGAACCAGGACCCCGTATGTGGGTTGGAGGGCCTTGGCCTCTCTGCCCAGGGCCTGTGTCCACTGTTGTTCTTCTCGCAGTTTGTTGGCGTCTTCGATGTTCACCGTGTGAATGGACACGTCTCCGCTCTTCAGTTGTTTGGCGGCTACCACCTGAATCGGTCGCTCCGTGCTGCGTGTTCGCTCCTTCAGTGCATTGTTGACTCTTTCGCGTAGCTCTCCCGGTGTCTTATCTCGCAGCAGTGCGGCCGCCTCGGGGTTGTGTAGTTTGACTATTATCTCCCTCTCCTTGCTGTTCGTTTGTGCGGGTGGAGGCGTTCTGGGCTGGGGGGGCGTGCCGCCAGACCTGACTCTGTCGGCCCAGGTTGGGTTTCTGGCTGTCGGGTGCGTTGCTGCATGGTTGACCACGTTCTTGATGAGGGTGAGGTCGTCTGAGATGGTGGTCTTCGCGATGTGGTGGATCTGATTCAACTTATCGAGGATCTCGTGGGAGGATGGTGCGGCCCTGGATTTTTTGGCATAAGCCTGTACGCTGTTCAGAAAGGATTCTAATGATTGATCTGGTAGTTTTTGGCGTTGTCCTTTTTCTAGGGTTAGCAATGTTGTTGCCTCTGCTATGAGTTGCGTCGCGTGCTCATGCAGGTTTTGCGGCTGCACGCCCAACTGAGGCCACTTGGCCTTATTAGCCATGGTTCCGGGTATCGGGCCGTAGCCGAAAACCAGGCCAATAAGATGACGTCAGTTTAAGCTTAATTACGCGCGCGGTTGTGGTGAAATTTCAAAAATTAGATATGAGCAGTGTGTGGTTGTCCGAGAGCAGTGTCCCCAGGGAGAGCGGTGTCCCCAGGGAGAGTAGCGTCCCCAGGGAGAGTAGTGTCCCCAGGGCCACTTTTCCAAAAAGGACCGCAGGTAACAATCGGCTCGCGCCCCAAGAACGGACCCATTGCGGGACCCAGGGCAGTTTTGGAAATCCGTGCCACTCCTGAAGTGCGAGCTATATTTGCACCTCACGATTCTCCACTACTTCTCCGAGAGTTTCCAGCGCGGTCTCATTCAAAGCCAAATTCCATAACGCGCCTCAGATCATTTGACCATGCGCCTCTTGTGTTCTGTTCTCCATATAGGCGCAGGCGAGTTGGGCCATGCAAAACCATCGCGGGCATCTCTACAGAAGGGAAGAGTGGGTGGTTCCGCACTCAAAACAACCCCGAGGCTTCTCCGCGTGGCGGATGTGCGGCGGCACGGGACATCGTCCCACCCCTTACGGGAAAACCTCATCGAGATTATTGTTGCCGTGGTCAGTGTCGCGGGTGCTCGCTGAGCGCCGATGGAGCCTTTGGTCTCCTTCCCCGGCGCTGTTCTCCCATGGACAGAGGTGAATCAGATGATCAGTATTCGGGTCTACAGCCAACCCCCTGCTGCCACAGGATGCATGGTCTAGTGATTGAGAGGCGGCTGTGCTTTCACTACGGGTATAAATATGCGTGGTTTCCCCCCTCAACTCTCTCCATTCCCCTTCTTTCTTATTATCTCGCTCGCACTTGCTCCTTACCTACTCTCTCTCGTCCTGACAGGATGACTAGAACCCGCAGACAAGCCATGGCCGCTGAAAAGGCCAACGCTCTTAACCTGCGTTCCAGAAAAGTCAACCGCGCGCACACATCCCATCGTTCCCATATAGCTCGTTCTCGCCGCCATCATCTTACGCCCACAAGGCCACAAACTCACGGGGAGGGTGACAGCCGTAGCCCACCCAATCTGGTGGAGGATCAGGATCAACCTTCTCTTGATGACATGAGGGAATCAGACATGCACCGTTCTGTTAACGATAAGGGTAAGTGCTTGCAATTTCTTTCGCAAACATATCTAATAGGTGAGCAGATGAGGCAGATCCCGTGTGCAGTTCAGCCCAGGGCCAAAGTTTGAGCACCCACGATGTGGCTCCCTGCTCTGATGGCAATGCGGAAGTTACTCTTGCCGACAGTGTAGCTTTGGCGATGGAAAACACATACGATGACAAATGGAACTACCACGGCCCCGTTGAACGTCGATACTGCGACATCCATGATGAAAATGAGTATCTATGTTGCTTCGACCCTACTTGGGTATCACCGTGGAACTTCGATGATCCAGAAGTGGCGAGCTCAAAACTGGAGGAGCTGTACAACATCAATCAGCAGAATCCGCAGAAACCATGGTCCTTGAGAGTTGGGTGCGATGTTCCTGAACTGCTGGACCATATTTCCTGTGTGACAGCGAGGGGAACAAGAGGAGGTATGAGCGTTTACTTTGCACACTGGAAAGACCAATGGTTCCGGGAGAAGAATGTTGGAAAAAGAGAGTATGGATCATGGGAGCGAAGCTACAATATTAGTGGCGGTGATAAATATGAGATGAGTCTGATAAATTGAACATTTTGCCACTTTTTCTTTCCTTAATTTCTTCTGCAGTTGACCTGTATGACGTATTGATGGGGTGAATGAAAGCTAGTAATTATAAATTTATTTCACAGCTCTTCTCTTGTTAATCTGCATCCAATCCAAATCTCCTTGATCGCTCCAGACGGCTGACGGCCGTCTCAGCAGTAGAAAGGCAGAATGCTTTTGCATGCCATGATTCTCGTTCGACATCGCTGAGGTCAAAGTATGTTCTTCAAGCGGGTTCGTGAGCATCAGGAGGGAGAGAGGTCTGGGCGTTCTCTTTGAGGCAATAGTATCTGAAGTGGAATTTCCAAGTTCTGGAAATGTGTGTGCTGGCCAGGATAGATATAATGAAGAAGAAATAGTAAAGTAAAACAAAGTGAAGAAACCAAACATAGAAAACGAAAGAGGAGAATGAAGAAAATGAAGTGAATGAAGACTGCAATTGTTACACAAATCCAAGCAGCTAACTAACTAGAAATAGAAAGGTTTCGTGAGATCGGGCCATCTTGAATCAATGCTGACATAATCCACGTGACCTCGTTCGACGACGTTCGTTATTCCAGTAGGCTGCCAGCAGTTCCAATCCTCCATGCTCCTGCAAATCGTCCAATGTCATCTTGGCATACACCTCATAACCCCGCGGAACCCTCTCTATGTTTCGTTGAAGGGATGGAATAGCGACAAACGGATCGGAGTCGCTCAGCAGGTTGGGACTCATTGGCTCATCGATGATGATTGGGTCTTCTGTGAGAGTGAGTGAGGTGTGAGAAATGTTTTTCACAGAGCAGGTACTGAGTCTTACCAGCAGAACTCAAGCACTTCCACCGCTTTTCTTGTGTGCTATATCTGCATGTTTCTTGTAAATCTATCCATCCTACTATCTGGTACATCTCATCCCCGTCTCGCTTATACACCAGCTTCAGAATCTTCACCTGAGAAAGGGGCAAAATAATGTATTTCAGATTATCCAGCGTCTCCCCCAATGCATCACCTTCCCAACGGCCGGACACCAGGGGGATAATCTGCTCTGATCAGTGGACTTGGACGTTGAGCTCCTCGCCCGTGCGTGGGTCAGCCTCGATGGAACCATCAGAGTAATTCAACGGCTTCTTCAATGTGTTGCCTTCGCGATTGTCTGAGGCCAGGGGAGGGGTTGGCTCTCATCAACTGGGTGGGTCATTGGCAACGTCGCTCAGGCTTGGGTGAGCCTCCTCGATGGGGTCGTCGGAAATATCCGACAGTTGGAGTGATGGTGGGGTAGCATCGACGGGGGACGAGTCGAACAGGATCCATTCGTCCCAGTTTATGTCATCGAGACCAGAGACGGTGGATGGCAGGGCAGAAAAATCAGCAAACGCCTCACTTGCTGCATCCTTAGAGAGGTCACCGGACGCAGAGAAGAGGGGCACGGGCACGGGCACGGGCACGGGCATGGGCATTGGAAGGAGGTGCTGGGGCTCTTCGTCTGACCGAGGATCAGGAGTGTACGCTTCCAGGAATTGCACTGTGTGCAGCTGAGGCGAGGGAGAACTGCCAGCAGGTCCAGGGGAGGTGATATCGTATGTGAAGGTAGCCATGTTGCGAGATGAGATGATGGGATGCTCTTCTCCCCTCGATCTCGATCCAGGAAGCCCTTGATGTCTTTATATATCCCACGTTCAGCCCCCGCCTGCGAACAAAAATAGGTCGAGGCTAATTGAGGGTAGGAAAAATAGTAGCTGAGATGCAGCTTGCATGGATTGCCAATCATCCACACCAAAGAAGCCACTGAACCGGGGAATGTTGAATTGATGAAGTGGACCAACACAGAAGTGCTCCTGACCACACCCCCATGCCAACTTGGGCTCTCGTCCAGTCAATATCAACCAGTCAACCTAATCAACTCCTCTTTTCACCCCTGGCCACACTCCAGGAAGTCAAATCAACAAACCGCCATACCTTTTCCTACAATCAATAGGGCCGGGGACAAGGAGTAGGGAATGGCATGCATTAGAAAGGCCGAGCTTCACCCAACCATGCGTGCCAGTGAAAAGGTGCGCCTGGCTTCGCCTCTGTGCGAGCCCATGGATGTCTCTATTGTAAGCGAAATCACTCAACACGAAGCAATATCTGAAGCACAACTTATATTGAGGCTTGTCAATTTTTGATACGCATACTCACGAATGCGTCTTGACAATCCCATGAGAGATGAGATGCAAAATGCAGCCTGTGCTTCATTTATACCAGCTCCGGGCGCAAGTGAGAAGGGCGCCGCCAGATCAAGCAAACTTGAGCTCCATTCTTATCCAGCCAGTATCAACCAATTCAGACTTAAAATCTCCAGGGAAGTTGAACCAGCAAATTTCGGGATCCTTTCTTTCAATTGATAAAGGTGAGGGACAAGAGGCTGGCAGGTAATGAAAAGCATCTCTGACTTCACCTCTGTTCTCTTTTTGTGAGAGGGCACAGTGAGATGGGTATTGGATCAGCCCACCCTGGCTTTCCCAGGCAGTAAGGATCAGGTGGAAGGGATTGCTGACAGACAGTGCGGCCAGTTGAACCAACATGGAGTTGAGGTATAAGGGGCTATAAAAGGGTCTTCCCTTCTCATTCAGCCTTCGCTCTTCTCTAAATCATTTTCCTGCTTCAAATATTCTCTCCCTACTCCGAATCTCTTCAGCATGGATAGACAAGGAACCGAGGACCGCCCGCCACTACCCAGTCAACTTTTGTTGTCCGGTGTGCTGCAATCCACTGTCCAAGCTCGTGAGATGCTGGATGACCTTTATCAGGAGGCGCTGCCCTATATCTCTGGTAAGAGTAATATGACATGTTCATCCCTCCCCCTCTTCATTGTCTGGTTTGCTCCTCAATGCGATCTTCTATTTCGATTTCTCATCTAAGACTGCAGCTCCCCTTGACGTCCCGCCCAAGCAGCTGTCTGTTGACAGGATCTCAAATAACTGGTCTCAGCCTCCTGGTGAAATCGAACCTGACAACAGAAACAATATCTCGGATTCTGGGGCTACGACAGAACCTTTGGCTCATGAGGAGTTGGAGAATCTTCCCTATTGGTATCGGGCGCAGCAGGTTGGAAAGAGTCTTAAGATCTGTCATGTTGAAAAAGTGTGGCAAAAAAATAAACATGTTCACCGTGTGCTTTATGTCGTGGAAACATATCTCCCGGACAATTGGCTCCCCGAAAATGCGAGGCTCCAGCTGCGGAAGCAAGAGGAGAAACAAATAAGGGAGGAGGTGGAGAGGAAGAAGGAGGAGAAACAACAAAGGAAGGAGCTATGAAAGAACCGTCTGAGCACATTACGTCCTCGACCATCCACACGCAATTAATGGAAGATGGGGAATTCGCTTGTCAATCGTGTCAATCAAATTTATTTGATATGCACAGTCATTTATCCATCTGCCTTCTCTTGCATTCAGTCGACTCACCCTGTTACTCCATGTCTCTCAGTAAAATTCCCCCAGCTGCCTAGAACGCCCAATATGGCTTCCCCCTCAGGAGTCAGTGAAGTGGTGCTCCCCTATTGATACCTTGTAAAAGTTAGGGAATTCGGAAGAATGCTGATGAAGTCGAACCCTCAGGGAACGCCACAATCTTGCATGAAAAGGTAACAAAAAGGCAACAAAGATCAAGTCTCTTGGGGAATGCTATAATTTTGAGTGAAAAAGGTAAATTTGTGATGGCAGTAACATAACATCTGCCAGCATGAATCAATTTCTCCATTTGGTATAGAAAGCCTACCAGCGGCGTTCATTTAACCTCTCATAATGAAAGACGTACAGAAAGTAGATCGAACAGGTAAAGGAGATTTTTAGAGTACACGGAGTACACAAGTGCAAAGCTCAAAAAACGCACTTGCTGTTAATTCTTTTCACACTCTAACCCATAAGTAAATGAATATGCATCAGGAACCAATTTATGCCCCTTCAGTATGACTTCCATCCGTTCGGCCCAGCTTGAATTTGCCCAGCCAGTCCCAAATACAGAATAACTATAATAGTCACCGTGATGTGCAACATCACAAAAAAAGGTTCCTTTTTCCGATTGCGTAGAGGCCGAACATTCTGTTGGTTTAACGTTCAATGTTCTGCCCAAATCGGAATTGCGGAAGTCAGCATTGGCCCAGCCATTGCCATGTATAGAAAATTTATGAAAATCGTCCGGGTGTGGCGCGCGGCAAGGTCCCTCGGAATTTTCGAAATCGAGATTGATATAATACGCCATACTGTCTGTTTGAACCAGACTTTCACCCCTGAAGTTCTTTGGATACTCCTGATCGTTTGCGATGCAACCATTTAGAGCCAAGTCACGTAGAAATTGCAGACAGTCATCAATGTCCATCAGGAAAGCAGATCTATCAACTGAGTGAACTCCAATTTTGATCTTTTGTGTGGTATCTACATCGTAGATCCAAGAAACTGAGCGTTGCAGTCTCGCCGCATCAGGACAGAATTGATCTTCCAGAATCTTGCTGATTGTGTCTCTGGCTGCTTGCTCATGCCCAGCTCGTGCATTACAAATTTGAACCGTGGGAACAGGAGCGTTGGTGAATGAGGTGGTAGATGGCGAACACGTAGATGGTAGAAGAGTGGGAGACGGTGGGCTGCCAGACGGTATTGTGAGAGAGGATGGGCTGGCAGTGAGAGATAATGAACGGGTGGAGGGCGGTGGCAATTCGGGAGATCGTGTGGAGCCGTGTTCGGCGACAATCAAGTTGTAGGTACCACACGTTCCATGAACAGTTCCACGTCCTCCCCACCGACAGTCCACATCATGACAGCACTCTTTGAGCATCTCAGCAAACACTTCCACACATGGGCAGTCTTTATTTCCAGCTTTCTGCCAGCCAATACTGAACACATTCTGTGGTTTCAGAGCATCTGCACCTGACCCCTCAGTGCCAGGATACGAGAGATAAATGGGTAAGAAAGGAGATTGTTTTGCATAGCTGCAGAATCGCTCGGCAACAGCTTCAATAAAGTTAGAGGCAATGCCTTGCCCTTCCGAGCTGCATTTTATTTCGCGTGGCTGGTTTCCCAGAACCAAAGGAAGAAAAAGAAGAACTGAAAATAACATAGTTGATGACTCAATTGATGATAAAGGTATAAATTAAAAAGCCGACTGAATTTTGCTTACATTTCCAAAGCTCTCAGTGCAGATGCCAGCTTTTATATAATTGTAGTCAAAGGCAAGCCTTGCTCTGCAGTTTTTGACACTCTGTTTGACTTGCTGCCCTTTTGACTTGCACTTCTTTCAGATCATACTCACTTTTGACTCATTCTTCTTTTGGCCCACGCTTGTTTTCCGGTACTACTCCTTTTCAACTCGCCCTCCCTTTCGACTCGCACTCTAGCTTGGGTAAATTTTTGGCTTGCACTTTCTTTTGTGTCACATTTTCATGCCGCTCTGCTTTCCGGCTTGACATTTCTATATTTCTATTCAATTATCATTTTGAGCTGGTCATGAGCCATTCGGCTCCACAATCGACACCTTTCACGAGTTTCTAAAGTTCATCTATGAGGGACAATAGATCTTTTTATGTTCCCTCGGTATGAGCCTCTCTGTACAGAAATGATCAATAGAATGAACTGGTACTGTATCATGTCTTCTAGATGTTAAGGAGAGGTATTTCTGATGGCCTAATTGTCTACTTTGCAAGCGGAGAATGTTAGTGAAGATGGATATAGACTGGCTTGGTGGAATATATATATCAATATTTCATTTTGAGCTAGGTGGAATTAGGCTTTCATTAGTAGAGCAGACACAGGATCTGAAGACTCCGAAGGCTGGATTTTCAATAAGTGGCTATAACTCTTCCTCGTCCTGGGGATACACCTGGGATTGTTCTCTCATATAACGAACTCTTTTTGACCCCTGTCCCAGCTCGTCACTGTCCACTTCTAGCCTTTTCCCCGTCCGAACATCAAATGATGACAGATACAACCTTAGATCGTCTAGAGTTATGTGACCTGTGGTATCATTCAAACTACCCAGAGGTTCTTTACTCCCACGCCCAGGTGCCGAATTGGAACCAACGAACAAGAGCTTCTTATCTTTTGCTTCCTGTAGGATATGATCATCTGGTAGAGTTCGCACAGTGTGCCCATGTAAAGTCATAAAGTAATGATCTTTAGCTAAAAGATTTATCGTTGAACGCAGCTGCAGCACGCTTTCCCCAATGAACTTGTAGTATGAACGAGAGGAAATCAAGAACAAAACTATCAGTGACGTAGGTGGGGAGTTATACCACATCTTCAGTATTTCTCCTGCACTCCGATGGACAGATATATGCGTCTTCCGCGCAAGCGGGGCACTGAAGTCCTCAAAGCCCGGAGCCAGAGGAGGCGTTGGCTCCATACCTTCCATGTCGTCGAGTCCGGGGTCTAGCTGAACTGGCGTTAAAGGGTTATTTACCGGCTGTATTGTAGGGGGAACTTCAGGCCCTGTAGATTTTACAAAATCATTCTTCTCCGCAGCGATCGCCGAATGAAGCTGATATTCTGACCACCTTCTGAACACCGAATACAATGGCTCTTTACCGAAGAAGGAGAATATCACCTCCCTTGTAACAGCGAACGAGGTCGGGCGTTGAGCGGCAGGCTGATCACAACCATACACATGACCCACAAAGAAATACGCCCCGTCGTTCCGGAGCTGAGAGGCTCGAGGACGGTTGTATCGCTGGATGTCGTCCTCGCCATTGTGGCTTAATGCGGCGTGGAACCCGCTTGTCCGTGGAAGATGTTCTCCAGCCCTTGCTCTGGGACAGACGTTTCAACATCGCAACGGGCTATCGCCTCATTGGTTTCACGGCAGCATAGCTGTCTGATCTCCGCGGAATCATAACCCAACCTCCGTGCTACGCCGGCGAGCCGGTGTGGGCTTCGCACGCGGTTGAGATCGTAGACAGTCACTGCGGTTGCTTGATGGTCCCGGAAGGGTACCACGAACTGTCTCATCGCGCACAACCACAGCTGGACATACGACAAGCACGCTCTCATCCTCTGTGCCTCATCGCGACTCATATGCTCACCAACAGGTATATCTGCGTATTCGTCAAAGGATAACTGGACACGGCATCTGTCACCCCCTGCGACGTATATATGTCCCATCGCCTTCTTCAGGGAGCCCCAATGCTTCTTTGGGAGAAGCACCTTCAATCCCCTTGCTGGTGGCTCGAGGTAGATGAGATCTTGGGAGAATGTGTGCAGAGACAGTATTCTGCCACCAACTTGAAGTAGGCCCTCCAGGAGTATGCTTCTCTCGTTTGGACCTGTGACACAAGGGAATAGGTTATTATCCATGAGATGACGGATGCGACCCTGGTCTGCGAGTGAATAGGACGGCATGAGACCCTCCACCTGGCGCACGGAAGGCCCATCGACAAGGGATGCCCTTGTCCCGGGAAACAAGGTCGACCAGATACGGTTAATCTCACCAAGATAATAAGCTGACTCCTGTGTCCGCAGTATCCAACGTTAGTGGAAAAGAGGCTATAATAGGCGGAACCGAGCTGTGCGCAAAATTCTCACATCATAACATCGCCCTTCCAGAGCGCGCCGGAAGAGCTTTACAGTGACAGGCGCCCACAACCCAACATATGGTAAGAGATGGTCAAATCCGTCACAGAGCTGCTTAATCCTCTGCATCTTTTTCACGTCTCGGGTTTTGGTAGAACCCTCCCACCTAGCCCACCACCTAGCGACCTCGGGAGCATCTCCTTTCAGCTGATAATGACGCAGGTTCCGGTAGATATCACCGTCGCTGAAATTCTGCTCATTTTGATACTTTTCTCGCAGTTGAGCTTGCGCTGCGGGTGTGAGAGCTTTTAGAAGTGTCAGCAATGTATCACCAAGGAAATAAAGCACACTCACAGTCAAGATATAATTTGACCCCCCACCACTTGTCGCCAGGGTCGAGAAAATGGCTTGCTGCTTGAAGGCGGCTCTTCCCTTGCAGACATCGAAGGCGAACATTGTCACCAAGGGTAAGATGGGGCGGGTCCATACCGCTCAATAGTGCTTCCACGGTCGTCTGTGAACTGCTCAGCGCCTCCTCTAGTGTGTCATTGCTGATGAGAGCAGGAACATGATGTTCTGGGTCGTCACGATCGCAGCCTACTGACTTAAATAGCTTTATAAGCCTAGCGGCATTCTCCCCCAGTGGCCTCGACCCGACGACATCATCATCCTCGCAAGCGAGATGGGATAAGTCAATCCTCACACATCCTCGAAAGCGGCGCAAGATCGCCTGAGTGTGCTTGTCATCCAGCAGGTGTGGCAGATCTTCCATACTCTTTATCGTTGACGTGCTGACTTGTGTGTTCCAGGGTATGGCAGTCATATATCCCCAACTTTAAACCCATTGCGAGTTTGTTTGAACCAAACATATATCACGCGGAATTCCTGCTGCACCACTCAGTTGGGATACGATCCATTTTCGGCCCCCTGCCAGATCCATGACACCGCTCCGTTTTCGTGTCCTCCTGCACATCGGAAACCCCGACCCGACCTCCCTAGTTACAGCACTACCCGACCTCGTTACAAAAGCCAAGCTCCATTTGTGGCCCGTACACTCTCGGTTATGTGCAGCAAAGCTAGAGGCCCATAATGACATTCCTCCTAACGCGATCCGGGAATAAGTGTACACGCAAGTGAGCACTGAGAGCTTCAAGGACAATATTAGTAAGAAAGCACTGATGTCGCGTTCTGGAAAATTGCCTTGACTTAAAATAGATTCTTGGTGATGCGCGTGTCTGCCTTCAAAAGAGCTCCTGTCTTCCCTTAGATGTAGAAAGGGTACAAACGCAGCAGTTTTTCATTATATAAAAAACCATTTATTTGATTATCCAATAGCATTGATGGTCTAGTAGTCTTCTCTATTCACTTTTATTTTCGTGTTTCCCGCCCTTTCCCCCTGTGAACCTCCGATATTTTGTGTAGTTCTCGCACGTTGTTCGGGACGGAGGGGGGTAGTGCTTCTCCTGTTTCCGTCAGAGTACTTCCTGGGTGGCACCGGATATAACACTTACTATATCTTTGTCCGATGGTGGAAAGTGGCTGCCCGAACCATCAGGCTTGCTGAAATTAATTGTAAAGTATCGGTTGTCTTCATGGATGAGAAGGTAGACACCATTGCAATGGCAGTCGTCGAAGTAGCTACGCAGCATACGTCGGAGTGTGCATTTCCGTCGATAACGCATCTGCACGAGGCTACGGTGCGCAGTCCATGGCCTCTTGACACATTTTGAGTCTGATGGTTGCATGATGTAAAATGAAGATAAAAATTTGAAACAGCAGTATGGAAGAGATCTCAGTCTATAGCTATAAGCAAGGGTTATTTGAGAAATAAGATGGCCCTTCATTGAGCCAAAGTCGCTTTTTAATGTGTTCTGTCGAATGCGATTTCAAGTGAGTGTTCGCCGACACCATTTTCACTCACAATTTCATCTCGGCCGCGATTTGTGATTTTTGACTGGGTATTCTTTCTGGTTTATATTATTTTTCGGATCGTTTTCTTTTCTGGATTGTATTCTTTTCTGGATTGTATTCTTTTCTGAATTGTATTCTTTTCTGGCTTGTGAATGCTGGCTCCACTAGTTTCTGCATGTAGGCATCACGTAGCTGGATAAACACTTAACAACATCCTTGAAAACCTATTTTGCTCCGATGAAGTAATGCCTTTCCTATTGATTGGTTCCACATCCGGCAGACAATGCCTCTATCATCAAGATTAATCATCAGGGCACCCGTGGGCTTTGCAAGCTTACAAGGCCTACCTTTCACCTTGGGGTTGCATCGCCCTAATATTAATGTACATAAAAATACACCGGAGGAAGTGCCATGGAGGGTAACAAAGTGAATATATTCAATTTCAGACTAATTCATCAAAACTGTCTCAAATTCCTACATGATGAATGATTGTAGTGAGGATCAGGTGAGAGGCATCTACAACTAGAACGCTCTACACGGAGGGTTAATATACCGGGGGACTCTCACGCTGAAAAAACACACAAAACCATGAAAAAAGCCTATTTGACTCAAATGTCATTATAGGCTGCTGTAATCGGGAATATATAATAGCAGTGAAACAGTGGTGAGAATGCTTCAACCTTTTAAGTTCATTTTCTGTCCAAGGAAACAGATAAACCCTTAAACAGAATCATTGACATAATTGATGAAGCAGCAGCTGATTATGAATCCAGGCCTGCTGGTCTAACAATCAGCCTTGTTTCATCATGGGTAAGTGTCCGCAATGCCGGTTCCTCAAAACATGGCCCTTCATCAACCCAGGCCATCTATAAAATCCACGGCTTCTTCCCGGCCATCCATGGCTGGAACTCTGACTCAAAGAGTTCTATCCTCCCGGATGAGTTTTGCCGCACGAACCTACGAATCTTCTCTCGAATGTGACGCTGTGCAGAGACTATGAATCGCTTAGCATGTTTCCACCGGCTCCATGGAGTAAACTCACCCATGATGAGCAGCTCCCCTCTCTTGTCTTCCATCTCAGCTTGTAGTCGTATCTCCCAGTCCACCTCGCCTCCAAAGATCTGGATGAGACCGTGCTCGCCAAACCTCTCCGGGTCATCGGTCGAGGCAGCACGCGAAGGATTATACACAAGAAGTTCCAGATTCTGTAGTATATTAGTCAGTCATGAACTTACGGCTCAGACCTCTCCATCACTCACATAGTTCTTATCTGCGGTGACAAGGTGCTGTAACCAGGGGCGGACAAGGGTCAGGTCGTCTGCAAAACACATTAGTGATGGGGCTGGTAGCTGTTGGCTGTTGACATTTACCAATTTTGTCCATTTGCCACACAAGAGATATCTTCTGTGTCCGCACCCTGCATTCTCCGATACCCTCGAGGGTTTCTTTGATGTAAGGGATCTGAGCAGCGATACCGATACCTGTCGCGAATATGACTACATGGCCGTAATGGCCCACCTGCTTGGAACCAAAATATCCACCGGTCGGAGAGGGGCCATACGGGCCATCGATCCATGCCCAGCATTCGGTGTGTGGTTTTACACGAGTCAGGAACCTTCTAGTGAAGCCAGACCGCGGCTTTATCAGCAGGGACAAGGATGAACTATTGCTTTCAGACCAGACAACCATGAATGGGTGACTTTGGAATAGACTCCAGAAGCCTACGCGAGGCACACTCAACCGGATCCACTCCCCAGCCTGGATCTTCCACGGCCGCGGAAGAACGATGGTGACGTGGAATGCATCATCGGAGTCTGGATTACTGTTGGAGGTGAGGGTTAACTTGCTGGGAAATTGTCCGTTGGTTATGTTCCTGGCCAGAACTCTAGCTGCGCGAAAAGTCAAGGTTGCTGCAGAGAGGCTCACGGTGGCTAGGAGGCAGTTTTTCGGGAGACCGTCCGTTTTCCTGACATGCCGCCAGGTTGAATAGACCAAGACGATAGCGCACAACAGATGGGATATCAGGAATGGTTCATAGTGGTATCTTCGAAAAAGTGGGAGGGTACAAAGAAGTAATAGCATTAAAATGGCCTACATGATACAGTCAGTAATGCCCGACCCAGCCGGGGACCCAAGCCTTACAAGAAAACCACAGAGCTGAACGTCATCAGTAAGCACAATTCCCGTACTCCTAGTGGCGATGACAGCGTGAGGGAGACTCTGGAGCAGTGCCATGATACCGATGGTAACATGGAAGCTTTTGTAATTCCTCAGAGAAAGCCGCAACAGCCTTGCGCCGACATCATGGGGACCTATAAAGCAAAGAGGAATAAGGTTGGAGATCGCCAGCTTCGCAGCGCGTGAACCGGCTTGAGAAACGTCTTTCACGCCAAAGAAGTTGCAGACTCCTGTGCCCCCTACATACAGAACCTGAAGAAGAAAGCGGCAACTCGGCAGGGGGCAAATTCTGCAGATAGTACGCCAGAGTCCAGACGTCCAACGAGCGGAGCAATTTGCGCGCAGATACAAAACAATGCTGAGCACGAGGGTTATAGTAAGGTGAAGAACAACAAGAGCTGAAACGACGCCGCCAATCACGGCGGAATAGATATCTGTAATTTCCATGATATAATTGTTTGGCAGTGAGGTACTGTTGACTGTATTTGTCACCTGCGAGGTATTGCCTCTTTAATATTCTAATACCAGCGAGCCGGATCAGTGACAGCGCTCAAAAAATGACCCATGACCAAATATCCAACAGCTTAGTGCAAAGAAAAGAAGGACCAAAAACGGTTCCCTATCGATTCTCTGCCCCGTTTCCAGCGTGATTTTCCTGGCCACAGGAGTGTTGCTCCTCACAACCATACTCCTGCTCATGGGCTGTCTCTGATCGTACCATAATACTGGGGCTTGGGGGCAACGTTATTTTCTGGGACAGTTTTCTCTTCTTCAAAAATTTCTGCAGATCCGGATCATTCGCCCAATGATTGGGATCACGTTGTTCCATGCCTATACGTTCCAGATTCGGCAGCTTCTCATCCTAGTGTTCATCCTCAGCAAACATCAAACGAGATGTTGAATATCTGACATACCAGTTGTTCGTCTGGCGGTGGCCAATGGGTCTCATGGCCTTGAGAATTAAAGCAAAGATTGCCCCGTTCATGCTCAATAAGAAGGTAGACCTTGGCTCCGCAGAGTTCTGCAACTTCAGCACTTTTGCTTATCAAAGTCTTGGTTCGCTTCTTAAATTTTTGGCGCTCTTTGCGGTGCGGATCTGGCCCAGCCATTTTCGATGCGCAATTTGAGAGTGGCGGAAATCAGGAATTGTCTCGCGGTTTTCAGGGTGTATGTGCCTTCCTTATAATGTGCTGCGCTTCGGACACGGATCCGAAACAATCCGAAACAAGCGAACAGGGGTTAAGGCCCCCACTACTATTTACGGCTTGGCTCACTCTAACTTTTAAATCATCGGCCGCGTTTTATATTATTATTTGTTAGGAGTAAAATGCGTCTGCAGAGTGTGAAGTTTCCATGTACATAGTTATTATAGTTGGAGATAAGAACTAGGTTTGAGATAAGAGCTAGTACCTGTGAATTTTAACGCCGACGAGTATCTTGTGGTTGTTACCGCTTGAGCGAAGATCAAAAGCTAAACTTAAAAATGTTTACCCCGCAATGTTCTAGACCAGGGTCTACCTGTCCACCCAATACGCGATAAACGCGTAAAGGCCAGTAGCGTCTTGGCCAGTGTTGGACAATTCTACCCCAACCGACGAGTCTTCCGCAACGGGGCGTCTTGACAGGGTTCGGACAGTGTCCTCTTTCTTCGACACTGCTGTTCGTCTGCGGCTCTATCGCACCTAAGACATGGCCGGGTTCCTGGTCGGTCGTGATGTGAATTACCAAAGGCAGAGGCGAGGCCTTGGTCCTTGATGATATCGTTTATCGTACAGGGAAATCCACTGATCTTTCGGTGCTTCCGGCGACCGAACTTTAAATATATGCTGATACGTTCCTCCAGGTGCCTCACATAAAACGAAACAGGCTTGTGGTAACGGTCGCAGGAGGGACAGACGTCACCCTCCCCGAGGAAAGGACCTAGCAACTCGCTGTCCGTGGTGAAGGACATCTGCTGCGACCCGTGGAGTTCCTCTAGCGGTGGGAGAATTGACCGGATCCGTGGCCGGCAGCGGATGATACCTCTGCACGGGAAATGTCCATCTTCACTGTTAGGCACCTCGGCTAACTCGAAGTAGAAAGATGATATGAGGAGCGCGGTTGCCACTTCAGCTGCCATCTTCGCACTCCCTGGGTTGAGGATGACCAGATTGCGGTAGCTGTCAATGTCGCTGACACTGTCGATCTTGCCGGCTAGGTCCTTCAGTGAGACGTTATATCGAATATGATCGGATTTTTCGTCATCACTTAGAAGGTTCATCAGGTCCTTCCACTTGACCTCCCCGTCGAGCGAATAAAGCCAGGCATCGAGAGCGCGACGCGCGAAGCCATCCCTGAATACGTTGCGAAAGTGAGGAGCATCTTGACCGGATGTTTTGTCGTCTTTGGTGCCCGTCCCTATTGATACCACAAGTGCTGGCCTCTTTTTCGCTGGCCAGATCTGGCGGCTCACACGCCGAGCAATGCCGGCCGGATTGTTCTCCCTCAGTCCTCCATCCTGGAAAGTCCCAATCGCGCGGATGTAGGCTGGTGGAAAGATCCTGGGAAGCAGTAGTCAGTTCAATGCCCGATTAGACTTTCTCAAAAGGTGATCATACGATGGGGCGGCAGATGTCGCTCGTGCTCTGGTACACTGTCTGTCAGCCAAAGTTGAAACCTGAAGGGGCTACCAACGCCACTCACGATTGCCACACAAACGGGTCATCACCGTCGTCTTCCGGCCGGACTAGCTCGTAGCCTGTTGGTGTCAGCGGGGAAGCCTAACGGTGGGGTTCCTGGGCTTACCGCGTTGCTTGCCGCATTCAGCACCGTTGAAGTTCCCGAACACAAATGTGGAGGTCTCTCGGGAAATACTGGTTGCCACCACTCCCACCTTGGTTCCAGATATTAGGGCTCCCGAGCCGTCAGGCCCCGCAGCGTGAAAGGTTCGACGGAATTCTCCAAAGATTTCTTTCAACAATGATTCAAGAACGGCAGAATCGTAAAGCCCATCATACAGCCACCAGGTGAGCCACCCATAAAGTCGTCCGGCGAATGACTTGCGGACTAGCAGAGCTCGTCGTGCCCGGTGAAAGACTCTCCGGGCTAGCCGTTCGAAGACATCAGAACAGGTTGCCACGTCCCACCGTAGGTTCACCAAGGCGTGCGCAATGATTCCTCCTGGGAAAACGTCAGTGCCTAAAAGTGGAAACTGATAGAAAGTGCTCACCGGAGCTGGTTCCCATGACGAGCTCACAAAGATCCACAACTGGACAGTTGGCCCCCAACTTCTCCTGCACCAACAAAAGAAATTCCAGAGGAATGACGCCACGGACGCCTCCCCCGTCAATGGCTAAGCTGCTGATACGTTTGGTTGGAGGCACCAGGTCAATGGTGAGAGGCGCTCGCGACAAGCACAGATAACAGAGACGGATAGTCAGCCGATACTCAGTATCAGACGCGGGGTCCCCGTACCTTCTTACACATATTTCGCATAGACCATGTCCACAGGCGGGTCGGTGTTCTGGCTTTCGGAATCGACACCAGAGACAGGTGCGGTTAGACTTCACTCGGCAGAAGAGAGCACTCTGTGACATGAGCTGTTCCTGGTGCAGCTCTGTCGATGGCCTCCCCGCTTCCTCTACAGATGAGAAGAACCTGTTTGCCTCGACTCGGACCAATTCACACGCCGCTTCGGGCACTAAGGACAGGCTGGGTTGCTCCTTGCAAAGCCATAGGAAGGCTTCTAAAAGGGGTTCACGGTACAAACGTTCGAACACCAAATTTGGGTCCGACACTGGTATCTTAGCATGCAATTTTGGGATCGTGCTTAAAGGGGGCTTACAATGCGCCCTTGGAGGGTAGTTGTCTGCAACAATAGCAGAAGCAATAGAAGGCACTAGGTCACCCACGCTGATCTCCGCCCGAAATCCAAGTCGGAAGTAGTTAGTGAGATGAAAAGTCAGACCCGCCGGCACTTCGTTACCGACCCTCATCTCCCTGATGTGGTCAAAAGGCTCGGTGACGGTCATCGCGGTGTGCCTTAGCGCAGCTTGAAATAGGCTGTCAAGGTGCACGGCAGTAAAACGAGCGCGATGAGCAGAGCGTATGTTCGCGGCATGGTCTAGGTGGTGCTGGAGGAAGCTCCTCAGCCGATCATAGCTGCCGAGGGTGATCGTCCTAACTGTAGAGAAGGATTCTGCTATGCGGCTCCGATGGGCGGAGATTGTTCGATGAAACTTGTTCATCTCAAGCCGGTGCGTCTCGCTGCCTCTTCCGAGGACAACAAGAGCCGTTGGGCGGACCGGAACGGGAAGAGTGGACGCAGAACCTGCCTGAGCGACAAATAGTAGAAAATGCGCCACGTGGTCAAGACTGGGGAAGTCTTCTGCGAAGATGCACACAATGTCGCAGAAGAGGAAGAGGAGCCTGGCATAGACCAAACTGATGACATCCTCACTACCTCCGTCCGCCCACAATGCAGAGTAGGTGGTCTTCCGCAAATAGCTCTCACTCTGCTGCACACTTAAAGTCGCGCGAAGATCGCCATCAACAAAGAGTACAGGTGCGTGATCCCCGCCAGCTTCTCTTCGTAAGTTTATAGTCATGTTTGACTTCTCTGGCTTGTTTTGTGTCATATAGTTCTCGAAAAGCGAATCAAGCGCTTCCTCTTTGCCTTCACCTCCCAACAAGAATATCATCGTCGGTTGTTGTCGCTCCGGGCTTTCCAACTCATTCAGGATATGGGACAGGCGGCCGCTATCCATGATTCGAACGTCTCCGTGGTCGCCTGCGATCACGGAAAGCCAGTCAGCGTTGTTTGGATTCATCCTGTAATGGGCAGCGGATCCTCTGCGTTGATCTTTTCTTTGCTCGCTTTATTTATCTGTTTCTTTTAATTTATCTTTAATTCTTTTTTCCGTTTGCAGATTTTCGTTTCCTGTAGTGTTGTGTCTAACTGATACTGTCGCTGCACCGAATACGGAAGTGTCCAACTATTGACAGCTCGCCAAAAACAGCGTGCTTCCGAGCTGGTTGTGCGAGCCCGTTCATTGATGCGAGCCCACTCAGCTTGAATTCACTTCGTTGCAGCCTCCACCACAATCTTGCTTGCATTCCTCGCGACCTCTTCTGGACTCTGTTGGATGATACAACGACAATATTTGACCTCTTAAGCTTGTTCAATGAAAGTGGTTAAACATCCGGTTTTTAGTGTGTCTGGCATACTCAAATATATTTTGTGGTAGCTTGTTCGGGACGAAGTCTGAAAAAAAGCAGAAAAAGAGAAAAGATAAACATCCGCTAGACAACCATTTACTGCCCTTATTTTTGTGGCTTGTCTTGTTTACACCTTTTTTAGATAACCATGCCCGAACCATCCGTGGCGAAGCCTATGCCTCCAGGAGCGTTTAGCACCAAACTTTTTGAGAATTTTCATGACAATTGTGGCCTCCTCTCCACGCCCAGACTCCATTACGGCTTCAAGGGGCCGCAACCCATTACCGCGTGCCAAGTTAACGTCAGCTCCTTTCTCAACCAGGATTTTTACGACGTGGTGAGATCCCGCCTGGGCGGCCCAGCTCAGGGGGGTTCTTCCGTGCAGGTCGATGATGTTGATATCGGCTCCATACTCGATGAGCCAGTAAACAATTCCAGGAAGGCGGTTGGATGCAGCCCAGGATAATGCTGTCCGCCCAAGGTCGTCTCTTTGATTCACGTCAGCGCCATCTCCAAGGAGCTGCACTATAGCCATGGAGCGCTCGCGAGATAACTCAGCTCTTCTGTGCAAATCGGTACTAGCAGTTTGAAAATCGCATAGGGTCAGCCCATCCCAGCTTGAGAGTGAATCGTGGCGAGAGGTTGATACGGTTGATACGGTTGATACGGCCATTGATGTGGACATCCTATTGAAAGCTCAAAGTGGAAACTTGACCGCACGAATGTTGTCGGCCTTTTTTATCAGCAACTGCCGCGATCCGGGTACAGGTTGAGTCGCAGGCCTGGATCCCACGCGAGATTCGACTCGCAATATAAGATCGGCAGGCGACCCTTAGTCAGAGACTCAGAGCATCAGTTCTCTAATTTAAAAGAGTTTTTTGTCCTCTGTGCCTTGCTTGCCCTCAGCGACCATCATGGATAAGGAGGAGAGGGTGGCGTCACAGGATTTCAGGCCAGATCTCGGGAGCTCAGATTCTATCGACAGTGCCGCGTACGTGCGAATGCTGCTGGAATTAGATAGCATTCCATGGGGCCATAGCTTTTCCGCCGCATTGTTCAATTGGTTACTCCTCGCAGGTTATTTGGTGGTACCTGGAACTTTTACATCGCTTCAGAAGCCCGATACGGTTAAGGAACACCTTACTGACAAAGGCTTGGAGAAAGTCATTTTGAGTACCATACAAAACCCTCCTTTGCTGATGATCGCTTGTTTCTTGTTTCTAATGGGAGTTTCCGGCATGTTCTGGCTGGGTTGGACGTGGAGATACAATTATATCTGGGTCATAAATCGCATTTTCTTGTGAGTACTGTCCTCATATCTTGTTAGCCACTTCTAAGATGTGTAGCCCAGGTCTTCTCCATTCTGCCGCCGGGCTGATAACCACTCTGATCAACGTTTACACTGCTCAAAGTGGTGATTGGTCCGTGATGGCAATATCAACAGTGGCAGTCACCGGACTTTCAGCCACGTCCACCGCTGGGCTATTCTTATATTACAATTTTGTCAAGTTAGGAAGACTTAAAAAGGCATATGAAGGAAATGAAGAGCTGCCTTCTAAGGTATGAGAAGGACAGAGGAGAGAAGAGGAAATAACGATCGAATACCGTGGAGCGGAGGACCTGGAGGTTCCTCAAGCGGATCCCCCGTTGGGTGCTCCTGCATGTAAATAGCTTTAGCTAGCAGCAAGGGCAGTTGCGAGCCGCCCAAGAATCATAGCATAAAAATGTATTGCGACGCTGTTTCGGAACTCTGAAGATTATAAAGTTGACTCCAGTGCCCCACGTATTGTTAGTTTTGACCACCTGATCAAACAGTCAAAATGCCTCTGGCAGATTCAAACCGTCTTACACTGGTACCAAGCGCAGCCGACGTAAGGCAAATCGGTGATATTTGCCGCGCCACGGACAGGAATGCTGAACCAAGACTTCAGCAAAGACTTTCAAAGGAACGCCCCCCAAGAATTCCACTGAGAATAAATACCAACGCACCGCCTTCCAGGCTGACAAAAACAACTTCGTTTCTCTCACATGAACATCCTTGGAAGCGATACATTGGTGTCTGGGAGAAGAACCGTGCCGGCACTGCTATTCTCGCCTACGAGAATGTCATGTCATTTCCAGTCGTGTTTATCAAGAAGAGATCATCCCGAAGTTCACAAGAGCCAGTGCAGCATCTTAAACCGGTATCCCATGCAAACATCACTCATCTTAAAGAGGCGTTTATGAGCGGCGAGTCTATTTACTTCGTTTATGAAGCGATGCGTACGTCCCTGTCCCAGCTACATTGTAGCCCCCACACCCGCTTCAATGAAGCCGACATTGCCACTGTGTGCAAGGAGGTGAGGAAGATTTTCTTTCAAAACGCAGACCATACTGTTAATTGACCTGCTCAGGTCCTTCATGGGTTGAGCTATGTCCACGAACATCTTGGAATAAGCCACGGCTACCTAGACTGTGACAACGTCCTCCTCGGTGACAATGGAAAGGTCCAGATAGGTATGATGGCCACAAAAACCAATCACTTTGTAAACCGAGCTGACTTCAACAGCGAACATCGGAGAGAGCCTGCTTAATGCGATTGCTGATCCGGACAGTAAACAGCGAGACGTCCGGTCTGTTGGCCTAATCGCTGTCAAACTCAAAGAGAGACACACGAGCCTTGAAGACCCCAATACCCTCGTACTGCAGGAGCCCCGAAATGCATCTGCGGAAGTAAAGGACTTTATTCAACAATCATCAGTGGTATCCAGCCACAAGCTGCTACAGGTTGGGCGATCTTCCCTGTTGCGCAATATTCGCTGACCTCTAGCATACAGCACGAATTTCTCCTCAAATCACCTGGGTGCTGGTGCCTCAAACCGTATATTCTCGAAGCAGAGCCGTACATCGTTACCCACTATCGGCGTATTTATGACAATGGAGGAGGGGAATAGCGTGGAAATATTATTTGAGGAAGTTCCGTCCAATGGCTTGCTAGAGTTGCTTCTGTTTGAATAGCCTGCCATCTTTTGACGGGCGGGCGAAATCATCTCGTCATCAGAAGATGGTACGATTAGTTATTAAGTTACATAACACTTTCTTCCATGTAGTTGGGCATGTGTATGCTGAGTAGATGTGATGATCAGGGGACCCCTGCACCGCCAAGTCCCCGCCCCCCGCAGGACCTTCCCAATAAAAACTGATAAACGCGCTTCACAAGTTTTCCAGTCCCCCCCAAGTCAGCAATCATGAAAATAATCCCTGCAGGGAGAAGCGACAAGCATGGCTGGTCTCCATTATTGGATAGCGAATACGAATATGCTTGCATCACTCCTGGAACGTTGGCTTCCAGTAAACGCGGTGGCCGAAGAGTTAGGTGAGCCAAGAGCGGATCATTTCATTCTGCGAGCCCATTTCGTTTGCGAGCCTGTTTTGTTAGCGAGCCATTTTCGCTAGCGAGCCCATTCTAGATTGCAAGTCAGTTTAAGCTGTGGTTCAGTTTTTCATTGCCGTCAAAGCTCCCAGCTGTAGAGATGCATCGTTCAAAGAAATCAGTCCTTTATGCCATTAAAGTTCCCGTCTGGTAAACAGGCGCCCATTGCAAGGCGCCGTCATTTAAAATGACTTTCAGCACATACGCAGTTCTGGCAGCTAACACCGCGCCTCCCTACGCTTGTCATAATCAGGAAAAAAGGAAACATCTCGACCGAAAAGTTCACGCAAAGCTACATTTCACCGCGGCGATGGCCAAGTTTAAGCCAACTCTTCCGACAGTTCCTGAGCTCCCTGGGCCTGAGATCTCACCTCTGGATCATCAGCTCCTGGTCAATGGAAAGACTTCATCAAGGATTGAACGCCTTCAATCCCGCCTTCAGTCGACTAAGAATCGTTCTTCATCTATCTACGTGGACGACCAGATCTTGGAGCTCACATTCGAGAATTCGTACCTCAGGGGAGAGATTTCCCGGTACGAAGATTATCAGCGGGCCCTGCTGGACTTGAAGTATGTTTTCTCTTATGCTTTGGTAACAATGGAAGAAGCGCTTTCTGCAACTACACAAAGACTACGCGATGCGGATCAGAACTATTTGAAACTCAACGGGATTGAGGGACTGATGGAGGATGGGTGTGAGATTTAGGGATTTTGTATGTAGCAAGACTGAAACCAGCACACCGAGATTCACTTTAGTTTGGTCCATCTCAAGCTTTATATATGCAAGTAGAAAAACAAATTTATCATTATAAAGTTTTTTAAACAACAGGTCCATAAGTGGCAACAACTAAGCTCCTGTGCAAGTTCCGGCTTCGCACGTGTTCCAATACAATCTAGTTTGCCTTAGAATACCGCATCTTCGCTATCATCCTCAATGTCTGTCACGTCCTGGCAGCCGTTGCAGCCACCACACCGTTCTTTCATTGCTGCATTCGTCGCACGAAGCGTTTCGATCTCATCGGTCTGCTTGCAAATGATTGCTTTCTGCTCCTGGTTATCGTTGTGCAGCTCTTGGACAGTCGATACCTGTTTCCCGTCACCTCCTGGAACAGAAGTGAGATCATCAACAAGATTCCACAGTGTCCGGTTCTCCGAGTACAGCTTTTCGAGCTCTGAGTGGGTCGCAGCATGCCGACTCTTCTCCGCAACAAGTTCTGTGTTCGTTTCATGTTGGCAGTGCCTTGCTTCGTCAAGGGCTGCCTCTAGCGCTTCGCGATGGTTCTCCGACCTGGCAAGCGAGCTTAGAAGCTCTCTGCATTGTTCCTGGGCACTGGTTCGCATCGAACTCTCGCTGATGCACCGTTGCTGAAAATCTTCCAGGCGCTCTTGCAGGTGCTGCTCCCGTATGAGAAACATTCTCACGATTACACACATCCCACATTCATTGCATTGATTGCAGGAGGTGAAATCAGACGCATTCGGAATCGTTGTTTGAAAGCTGGGGGGGTTTGGTTGAACCATGGTGCTTGTTGTTGACTGAAGTGATGCTTTGAGGCCAAACAGAGAGGACAAAGAACGAGCAAAATGAGCGGAGATAAAGCAATCAAAAGACAAAATGCAGCGAAGCAGCGAAGCAGCAGCAATCAGTTGCATGTAGGTGAAGTATTCATATATAGATTATGGTCCTCTTGAGGAGCCGGGCGCGAGCCAATTGAAAGCGCGGGAATGACACCCTCCGGGGAGAGCAATGTTTCAGCTCAGGCCGCATCCCTAACAGCAGGCCCTGGTTAATGAGTTCCCAAGTCTATCCAATAGGAAACGGTCCCGCTGTGAGGATTAATGTATGAAAATGAGGGGTCCTTAGAGGGGCAACTTGGACCCTGGAAGAATAATTAGCGCGCTGGCCGACGGAAGTATAAAAACCAAAAAGCTACTTCTTTAGAACTGTTTCCTTCAGAGAATCAACCAGCTTGAAAATACGTTTTCTTCACAGTTAAAGATGGACAATCAGAGTTTTCAAAATCTTCATGACCTTCAGGTGTTTCAGGAGCTTCTGCAGCAGCATGATTGGCCGGATTCGTTCTTTGAAAATCCCCCTCCTATTCAAGAAGACGATTCCAACCAGGCTGGAACAGCCACTGTCAATCAGACAGGTTTGAATGCTTCCATGCAGAGTCCGCCAACCGACAGTACGCAGTCCAGCCCCTCATATGAGACAGAAAATATTAATATTCGAAATTTGCACGAGCAGTATGTCCGTTGAAATGATCTCACATGTGTGTAATATGCTAACAGCAACTTTAGGTATGGGCAGTTGAAAACGTTAAGTAACACTCGAACGATCTCATGATCTTTCTAACAATGGCACAGTGACGTGAACGCCCTCCAAGAGTCGATGAGAGAACTAAAGAAGTGGGTAGATGGCGTCCAAAAAGTTTTGGTGCAGCTCATCGGAGATCAACCAAATCCTCGATCCAGCAGTGGTGTTCAGCGTGGAGCGAGGCATCGCGGAGTAGGGCCACGACGTACGCCTCTCAAGGATAAGGTGTTGAGAACCGCAGTGGATGAATGATTAAGGCGTTGAACAGCCAAGCATTTAGCGCGTGAATTCTAGATTCCACTAGTTCTATTTAGGAATAGAAGGGTGCGCGCAAGCGCTTTGTCGCATCGAAGTTTGATCATGTGTGCCGATCATTAGCTGTGCCGCAATGTTAAGTGACCGAGACTGAATTAGCTTCGTGACGCCACCATGGTGCGGAGCTTAAAAGTGATCCTCGTCAAAGAAACAGAAAAAAGAAGAATTGGCTTGCACTCTAAAATGGCTCGCGGCAGTGTTGGCATAACATAAAGGTGACTGAATCATGTTTTGATGGTGTTACTTCACTCACATAACTCTACTGATCTACCTCTCCACACTCTTACCTTGACACTTGAAACCATGAGTGGTAAGCATTAGCCAATTGAGCTGCGTTTCATTCTTATAGCTAATGCATCACAGATACCCACTCTCTGTCAAACAAGCTCTCCAACATCAAGAGATGTTATCTTGATATTGAGAATCAAAAAACCGTTCTACAGGAAGAAAATAACAAGGTCTTAAGAACACTCAGTTTAGCGGAAAGAGGCTGTCTTAACCAGATCAGAGAGGTGGAAGCGCATCTCAGAGCTTTGGAGAGAAAGTATGACCAGATTAAAGCTGAGAACATCTTTCTTCTGAGAGAGATCAAGCGTCTTGTCGACGCTGCACCACTGTCAGAAGGCAAAGGAGATCCCGCTGCCAATGAGATGTTTACCAAAGTTTAGTTCTTGAAAGAGGCATGTATTTTAGGCTGATGCAGTATTTTAATGATATGATTAAATAACCTTGTCTTATTGTGTGTTCTGCCAGTTACAGGGGTGTGATGGAAGAACCACATAAGCCAGATGGACTGGCCTAAAACCCCCTCACCATAACAGTAATTTTTCGAGGGCGTGTTTGCCTGACTGGTAGGAGTGTTAAGGTAAATTCCACCGTGAACTGGCTCGTTTGATTTTCACACCCAAATATCGCGTAGAATCCCCCCTTGATCTCGTACTTTTAAATATATAAAACGAATTGGTAGCGTTTTCGGGCTGAACCGGCCCTGTCGGTCTATTGTATGTCTGCTAGCTACGTTGGTCTGACAAATACACAATGCCATCACCTCTACCCTCCCTGTGATTGATTGGTGCGCTTCATATCTATGACAGGTTGATACCCCTGCTCCATGACGCGCTGAACCATTTCCTTCTCCTCCTGAACCAGGGTGCAGCAAGGGCAGCAGATAGCTCCACACCAATCACCGATGCAAGTTCCCTCGATGTTAAACCGGCTACGCATGCTCGTACGTTTAATCGCCTGGAGAATGCCTTGGAATCCGCAGAGAGAAAGACAGAACCAACAACAACACTTTCAGAGAACCTTAGTAAATAGGTAAAAGCGAAGAGGGGAGTATGTCACTCACATCGCGGTTGAAGTAACTAAACTGTGCGGGATTGGAGTGCTTGACGCGGCTCTGAGTTTTCCCAAATAGAAAACAGGGACAGAACGAGCCACAGAGACCTGTGTTTAATAGACAATCAATTCATGAACATTAGAAGTCAACATGGAGACTTATACATGTTTTTGTCAGGCCACAATCACACACAGAGTTTGACCATTTAGAGGTAAACGAAGGCTCCTGAGAGACAGACATAGTAGAATTATCCATTAATCAGAAAAGAAACAGTTAACGGACAAGTACTGTAGCAAGATTATAGTTAAACCCTCTAGAGCAAGGAATCGGGATTATATACGATATAAAGTGATAAGAGGAGCTAAGAGAGGTTTAAGAAACGCAAGCTGAAAAGAAGTACTGAGCCAGAAAAAGACACGGCTCAAGAAGAGATATGCAAGCTGAAAACTGAAAAGACGTACAGTAGCGCTCGCAATTGGATTTCCGAATGCAAACTGGTCTTTTTTGCATCACTAGAGCTCCTTTGCTTGGTGATGGATGGTTATGAGCTAACAATATGGGTGCTAGGCTTAAGTTGATGAGCGAGCGCCCTTGCTGGACAGCAGAGACATATCAAGTGAGAAATGGTGATGCTCTGAAATGACGACAAATGACTTTCGATTGCAGAGAGGTCAACAAATAGCTGTTTGGCCTGTATGGAGAGGACCTGAGGAAATTAACTTCAAGGTTGTGAAATCGATAGATGTTAGCTTATATACAACTCAGTGCCACAGGTCTTGTCCTAATACATAATAAAAGCATCACACTCCACACTGCTCAACCCAGAAAATCGTCAAAGGTAGAGCTTATATCCAAGATGCCTTTCAGTCTCTGCCGAGAATCACTTCTGGTGATACTTTTTTAACAGCTTCTGCTTCACCATCAAGCAAGTGTTTCGCAAACAATGTTCAAAGCGAGAGAGCCAGACTTCTCTGACTCTACTTGCGCCATGTTTCTGAAGAAGCTTTTGAAGAGCTATGCAGTCATTCCCCTTTCCACGCCAATATGCCCATTTAAGTGGACCAGCCCCTTTATTATCTTTCAAGTTCACATTAGCTCCTCTCTCAATCATCAGCTTTACCACAGCAAGAGAGCCGCCCTCTGCTGCCCAGCTTAATGGTGATCTTCCGTCCTTGTCCACACGCTCCAACTCAGCACCGCTGTTAAGAAACAATTCCACAACATCAACACGCCCACGCTCAGCTGCCCATGATAGAGCTGTTCTTCCCAGCCGATCGGGCTCGTCAATCTTATCCTTGCCATTCATCATCAACTTTACTATTTCGCTCACTGGGTCTTTGTCAACAGCCAATGAGAGTGATGTTCTCTCTAGAACATTGGCATTTATAGCCTCCCTAAAAATTGATTAGCTTTATTTCAAAGATGAGTACATACAGGTGGGGATGTGATTACTCTCTGCTTGTTAATTTCATTGCCATAACTTTTTATATCATCTTTCGCAGCCGGCGGTATGAAGAGGGGGATTTCTGAGAACTCATTTATAAACTGACTGAGATTTCAGATTTATATGTGACTGAAAAATTGATTTGAGTTGATTTGATGCAAGCTGATAAAGCGTACAAGTCAGAAGTATAAAAGATTTGAAAATAGATGGCAAGCCGATAAAGCGTGCAAGTCAGAAGTATAAATGATCTGAAAATTGATGCAAGCTGGCAAAGTGTGCAAGTAAGAACAGATGCAGAGCGCAAAAGTAGATGCACACTGAAGTATAAGTAGAAACAAAAAGTATAAAGACATCTTCAAGAATCATTGTCATTGTTACTCATTTGATTTTTATTTATTTAAATTATTCTGTTGCACAGCCGCCTATCAGATCAAATGAACAATGCCACCCACGAGAGCAACGACCACGCCACCGGCACCCAAGCTACCCGGGGCAACCACAGCCAACAGGGCCCAAACAGTGCCACCACGCGCTAGCAAGCGGGTCAAACGGAGTGAGGCTGTTGCATCTATAAAGAAGAAGCAAGAGTGGGCCAAACAGCAACAAAGAGAACAAAGAGACAAGTACACTGAGCTTCAAGAGGAAACCAAGAAAGATGAGGCGACCTTGGCCAGTTCATCCGGTGAAGATGTCCCAGACCTTCAAAAACGAATCGAAGAGAAGAAATCTCAGTTGAGCAAGATCGAGGAAAGACAAAAAAAACTTGAAGAGGGTCTGAATGCCGCTGCCAAAGACGCCCGTGAGGCCGAAGAGTCCAATACTGCCTTCTGGAATCTACCTGAGGATTACATGGACGTGGATCCAACTCCACCACCGCCCTCTACTCCACCACCTCAATCACCCATTATTAAAGTCGAGCCACGAAATGATGATGATGATGATGATGATGATGATGATGATGATGATGATGATGATGATGATGATGTATTGGTGGATTTTGAAAGTCTGGAGGATGAAGCCGTAGGCGAACCAGTTGCATATAGGCAAAAGGGCCGGGCCATGCAGGCAATTTATCAGATAGGACCCCGAAAGGCTGCAAGATATGAGATGCGACCAGTTGCCTCGGATTTTGGAGCGATCGCAAAATCTAAGGGGCTGCCTCTGATATCTCATCCTGGCAACAGAAATCTTACCAGGCGCTATCCACCAGGGGATGAAAAACAGGAAAAGTACAGATATGGGAGTGGCAACGTGAAGGGGATCACTGGTGTTGTCGTTGCCGAAGTGAAGTTGAAGGGAGAAAAGCCAAGGGACCCTGACACATATGTTCAAATCCGCTGGAAAGACATTGATCAGGAACACCCCGTTTTGACCTGGGAAGCAAAAAGCGACCTCATCCGTATCTTCGGCAAACGTGGACTCAACAATAAGATCAAGACGGCGTGGGAACGACAAGAAAGCCGGCATGTGCAATGGGTCAGGAAACAGGACAGCCCAGACAGAAGCCCGACTCCATTCCCGCTAGACTTGGTAGAGGAGTACAGACAGAGGCAGGCAAGTGCTCCTCCCATCAAGACAGAGGAACAGGAAGACAGCCCAGAGCCGGCGGTGAATAAAACAACTAAAACCGATGGAGAAAAGAAGTCAAATGATAAGGAATTGGACAAGGAAAAGACATTCTCTGTAAACACCTACATTCATAACATGTGCCAGGCGGAAGGTCTCAACCCGCAGAGCCTGAGTATGAGCAAGAGGGCAGAGATAATGGCGGCCTACACAGTTTATAAGAAAGAGATGGAACAGCAAGGTTGGAAAGACATTACAGGAGAAGCTGCATAAATGCAGACAGGAAATTGTGAAGTTCAACACTTCATCTGATGGTAACTTGCAACTGTAGTTTTTCATAGTTATTGTGGTTCAACACCAGTTTAATAGTTATACCAGAATGTCAATATCAATGATGTTTCTATCTTCAATAAGGCTAGTACCTGAGCTATTTTTCCGGCTCCCATATCATTGACACTACATGACAACTCCCCCTTTTCTCCACTGCTAAATCCGCGTCTTTAATTTTTCGTGGCACGGTTTTCGGCGCGCTTGATTGTGCTGGCATTGGCTGCCTCGATCATCAACTGCCGTTCCTGATCTGGGATTTGATCGATAATCTCTTGTGTTTTGATGAGATCAGAGAGGTTCTTCTTCAACTGTTCTGTCTCTTCTGCTGTCGGAACCGTGTCGGTTTGGAAGATGATTGGGAGGTCCCTGCTGGAGTCGCTCATGAAGGATGGAACTCTTTCGAGCGAATCGTGGTTGGCTGCATAAAACGAGTAGATGGAACCCAGGGTATCACGAGCTTTCTTGGCTTTATCATCGCCGCCGGCCGCTGGAGTCTCGGCACTGGATTTGCTAGGCTTGTCACTCATAATGGGACTAGCGTCTGGGAGCAAACGTGAAGTAGGAGACTGGTAAAACTTGTTGATGTCGATGATGCGCTGTAGAAGCTGCCTGGAGGAAAGAATGCCCTATATATAAGCACTTCTGGAGGGGCTCATGGCGGTAAAGTCATCTTGATGCGACAGGTGTGTTGACTAGCGTTATTCCTAGGAACGGGTATCAACCTGCATTGTTTTCCCGTCCGACTCCGGGCGGGGGAAGAAACTGCCTAGGGCGCGAAGCGAAACAAGGTGCTAGCCACACAACGGCCAAGCAGGATTGGCTGGAACACAGCGGCAACTCACTTGGCGCCAAGCAATGGCTTTGCTCTCCCCAACCCAAGTTTTGAAAGGGGTTTCTCGAGTTGTATCTTGTGAAGGTTTGGGATAAGTTGTTGCGCATTGAGTACAGGGTAAGTGCTCCCGCTTATTTCCGGGGTTCTTTATCTTCTTTGTATTCAGTTCACCATTTCACTCGGTCCAACATCTGCCAGACAAATCCCGCAAGCGGTTAGACCAAAATTACATCCACGAGGTTCCCTTTCGACGACGGAATACTTGCCTTCACGATGCACTGGGATAAGTTGGCGGAGAAAAAATCGCAAAGTCTATATGCTGCCTGGTTGAACTATCTTCTCCAACAATCCCCAGCCTTGCCTCTCGAGCTTGCCTCCAGGCTTCGTCGTGGTTTTCGAGCAACCAGAGCTTCAGATTTCACAACTGGCGCATTCAATATGTGCTGTACTGTCACCTTTGAAGACGGTTTCAATGCTCTTGTTAGATTTCCCATCCTGGGCCGAAGCCGCTTCCGCTGTGAAAAAACTAGCGATGAGACCTCAGTGATGGCCTTTATTGCTCGGTTCACATCTATCCCCGTCCCAACTGTCCTTGGCGTAGGAACATGGAGTGGCGGTCCTTATATCATTACAACAGTTATTGAGGGCACTTTGCTTTCGAAACGCCTACGAGATCCCTCTGTGTTGGCGCCAAGCCTGAATCCGGATGTCTCCGAGTCGGATTTGAAGATTGCCTACTCTGGAATGGCTCGCATTGTGCTAGAGCTCTCCAAGCCGGTATTCAAATACATTGGAGGGTTGAAACACGACTCTGGGGTGTGGAGGGTTGCAAAGCGGCCTTTGACGCTCGGAATGAACGAGCTTATACGAGTTGGAAATTTCCCTCCCAACGAATTTGTCGATTACAACCACACCTTTGAAAGCGCCTCCAAGTATTTCCAACAATTAGCAGAGCAACAGTTTCTGCACCTCAAATACCAACGCAATGATGCCATCACCGATGAGGACGACTGCCGGAAGAAATATGTGGCACGCTGTCTTTTCCGGCATATAGCACAACGGGTCCCAGTACAGCATGGCCGATACCACGTCTACTGCGATGATTTGCGCCCATCGAATGTCCTGGTCACGGAGTCTGATTTGAGGGTTAATGGTGTCATTGACTGGGAGTATACATATGTCGCCCCCGCTGAATTTACATACAGTGCTCCATGGTGGCTCCTATTTGAAAGCCCCGAGGCTTGGGACCTGGATAATTTTATGGATCGATACCGCCCTCGCCTTGAACTATTTCTTAAGGAGCTCCGTGTCCATGAAGACGAACAGATTTGCCAAGGTAGTCTAAAGGAATCACAGCGTCTTTCAGAAAGGATGGCCCTCTCTATCAAAGATGGGCTCTTTTGGTTTTGTCTTGCAGCCAGGAATAGCTTCATGTTTGATGAGATCTATTGGACATTTCTCGACGAACAATACTTTGGGCCTCTGAGCTCGCTTGATGATCGGCTTTCCCATTTAACACAAGATGAGCGGGACCAGATGGAGGATTTTGTTCGGGCAAAAATGCAGCAGATAGAGGAAAGGAGGTTGGATGAACATCAAACATTTGATCAAGTTCTTAAGTTATAGTCTAGGAAATTGACAAGAACTAAGATATTATTGCGACTGCAGATAGCTCTGTATGCAGCTACTTTGTCAAGAGTGGCAGAACGAATAGATAACGCCCAGAAACGCCTGATTTGTGGCCTTCTGTCCCGGTTCTCTCGGATGTCGGTTGATCTAATCCATCCCCAGCCTGCCTGGAGGGGATTCTTGGTTTAGGAGGTTCAACATAGTTACTGTAATAGCATAATGAGTCATTTTCCACTTGTTTTCGCATTTGCTTGTCTAATTGAATTTGGCGTGAAGAAAGATTATGCCACTCAACTTGAAGCAAGGAACTCTTAACCGCCATAACGGGTGGGTCAAAAAAAGGGATGGCTACGTTGTGGATATGAATGCTTGGCAGTGTCTTTCCGCCCTTTCAGTCTTGCTCGGGAATTTTTGATTTTTTTCTGCTCTGTACTGTTGACATTGGGATTATAGACCAGTAGATGAGCTAGGCCCAACAGTAACTGTGAGAAGCGAGAATGACATCCATCACTTAACTTCATAGGAAACCCGCCCGAATTTTATAAGCTCCTCGGTTTGATCACGGGACTTTTACCTGGCGCATCTTCCTTGGTGTGGTGTGGTTAAATTAAGCTTTTGCCTTGGCGAACCGTTGACAGCTGCGGTGACGGTCGTGGCGTTGCCTAGCGGATCGCCCTTACGCACGTGCTCTAGAACTTGATTAAAAGTGTCCTCAGCCTGCCACTATCAGGACCGTTTCGTACTTCCCAGCAGGATAGATGATTGGAAGGTGCCATGCAGGCGCATCCTGTAGCTCCTTGGCCAACCCTTGTCTCCCGTTTCATTATACCAGAGCGCCAATATCAATGATGCTTTCCACCTTCAATTTCTTCACGCCGTTTTCCTTGCATAACTGAATCCAGCGGCTAAACAAATTCAATTAGCCAATAATAAAGACTGTGTAAACAGGCTTTGTAGGTGAATCCAGCAGCATAAAACTGAATAGGCAGCTCTTACCGATGCTAGGCGATATCCATACCCTCCACCCGGATATCAGATTCTGCTAGATTGCAAATCATTGCTGCCATTTGACTTTGGTCCTGGAGGATCCGGTACGTTCCCAGCTAAGTCATTCTCCTCCCCGCTGCAACTGTCATCACTCTCAACATGTTGACGTTCCTTTTCGCATTCGCGCCGGTAGGCCTGAAGGCGCATGAGGCTCTCATTGGCTTTAGTTATGACATCGACATCGTTGGAGGTTAAAAGTTTCTTGAGCACCGCTTCTGTTTCGTCCATGGTGCATTCTTTGAGTATTCTGGCATCCTCGACCTTGCTCTTAGAATATTCAATTCAAGCGTTTGATAGATGTCTTGAAGTCTAGTGATGTCGCTGTCGTCGCGGCCGGCGTCGCATATTTCGTAGGACAATCGGTCTAGTGCATTTCCAAGGTTCTTTTCAAACAACTTCGAGTGTTCCATGTCGCCTATCCTGTCGTTCATGGCTGCGATAAGCAGGGAGGTACACAAGGAGGTAGGGACATCCATTTGAGGCTGTCTAAACACTTTAGGATGTATAGCAGCCGTTTCGAGTTGGGTGGCATAATGTGTAGGTCTAAATTTCTTCCCGGCGTTTTCCTCTAATAACTGAATCCAGCGGCCGTACTAAAAAAATTCAATTAGCTAAGCAAATACGAAACAAAGTGGAAATGATCAGGCTTTGTAGGTGAATCGAGCAGCATAAAACTGAATAGACGGCTCTTACCGATGCCAGACGATATCCATACCATAGACAGCGCTCGTTGCGGGCTGATTGAGTGCTGGGCATGTCTATGCCACCGCTGTGGTCCTCCATGGTAGCATTTGTGAAGAAATCAGGTGGATATACTATTTGTGACCATATCTGGCTTCGAAAGAGGAAATCCTCTGGTAATTGGGGGAATTCCGTTTCAGTTGGGATCGGGAAGTTGACACTTTCAAGCCGGGATTCGCTGACAGATTCGCGGCTTAACATGTTCAGAAAGATAGTGATCTTTGTCCACGGAATTTCCCCTTCCACATACGCCATCGATTCCGGAATCAATGCCAGGCTCAAAATAAACGCCAGGGAAAGGTGGACATAAGGAAAAATATTTTCGCCCCGGGCACGCTGAAGAACAAAAGAGAGGGTATGAAAATTTAGATATGTGCTGTAAGTAAGTTTCTCCAAGGGGGTAGAGAAAGTTGCAGCGTCAGAAGGAATGCCATCTTTCAGAGTGTTTTGCGAAGGTTCTGAAGGGAGCTGGAGCCAGTACTGTTCAGCGTGCTGTAACCTAGCCTCCCAGCTCAGCTTTTGAGAGTCTATAAACATTCTTGTAAGAGTGCCATCCTCCTCGCCATATTGTAACATTGCAGCGATGTTGGGGATTCCCACGCAGATTGTTGATTCCCCGAATTTGAAAGTCCGTTGCTCAATCTCGGTGTCAAAAAGGGCAATGTACTTGTTCACATACTCAATGAACTTGTGGATTGAACCACCGCGAAGAAGCATAGCATGCGAGCCCACAAACCAAGATGGTAAGTCTGGCGGGGTGACATTCTGCTTCTGAATTGAGTCCAATGCCATGTTAAAGGCAGACTCAACGGAGCTCTTTGACCTTTCGTATCGTTTGGTTGCCATAAGAGACCTGGAGTAACAGAACAATTGCCCACCCATGTTGGGTTTTGAAAGATTACCAAGTCGGTGGTAGAGACTTCCCTTTCCAGGGTTCTCATCAAGGGCCTTGTGATACCAACTCGATGAAATTTCATTCCAGGTCTCCCTCTCATCAGAATCCGTATCCTCAAGACACATCATGTAGCTGGTCAGGTCACCAAGACATTCAAGCCACAAATTTTTTAATCCGGGGACCATATCTATAAGCAGCGTCAATAGGCCGTACGCATAGTAGATGAAGGAAATCATGTAATCATGACTGTCCGGTCGTCGAGCTTTCATGATTTTTAGCAAGGCATAGATTCCTTGGTGCAGCATGCGTGACGGCATGTTATATTTAACAGGAATCTCCAAAATTTCTCCGTTGGTGATTGGATGTTGCGTACATATGAGTAAATCATAGTGGTGATCAATGAGGCTTCGATGCCATTTGACCAGATTGATCCACTGGTTTTCACTCAACTTTCCAACACATGAGATATTTGCATCTTCTGCAAGACATCCCATTTCGGTTGTCAAAATAACATCGTATATTCTGGCAGCTTCTGACGTCAATATCTCGAATGGCAACTCCTCAACATCATAATGGTGAATCATGATAGTTGTTTCTGGTGGTTCGGGGTCATGCGGAACGCCCAATGAGGCAGTTTTAAATTTCAAAACATCCTCCAACTGAGGTGAGACATATGGGTCTGGCACCCAACCATCAGGAAATAGGGTGCTAGATACTGTGGCAGGAGCAGGGGTAATTTGAACCGGAGTGGGAGTGGGAAGGAACCCCGGCGTCGCTGGAGCATCCGGGTTTGATATTGTAAAATCATAGTGTGTTCGCAGATGTTCAGTGTTTCCAGTTTGAATATGAGAACCACCCCAGGGCTGGTTTTCACCAGAGGCATTGCCATGTGAATAGCCCACTGAAATTCGACGCTCCTCATCTTCGACGACAGCGGCGGACCGTTTCTTGCCTGTTGGGGTGGAAGGCGCTGGGTTTCTCAAGGTGTTCCTGGCAGACAGTTTTTAGATGTATGTTCATATTGTCTTTTCGTGCAAACAACTTACACCGAGCATTCATATCTTTTTTCAGCGCGTTCATGGGGGCAGCAGGTTGCATCCACAGTTGTCATTTGCTCCTGCGCGCATTATATCAGCCAGAAGTATGACCCATAAGCTGGAGAAATCTTACCCTGTGTGGAAAATTGATCTGGCCTTGGGTTATTGATGGAGGCTGAGATATCTTCTCTGTTGATGCAACGGCAGCAATCACTTTCCTCTCTCCCTCATCTGGAGGATTCAAAAGCGATCGGACATCCATTCTCAACAATTTGTCACTGTCCTGGCAAAGAATAGCGAGAACTGGGTTCACTGGAGCAGGGTCAATCGCGGTTCGTGTGCTAAAGAGCACTGGCTCTTGCTTTGTCACTGGAGAAATATTTTGATCAACTGGACAGATAACCACACGGCGGCTATTACAACTAAAGATAAAAGGTAGGGTAAAACTAGAGAACAGCTAAAAAGTCTTTTGGAACGGGGCTGAGGAGATGGTTGAGATTGGTCACTTGTTTTGGATCCTGTGATTCCATGCCAGCTAGCATTGTGTATGCACAGAATAAGAGATGAGGGAAGAGTGGAAGCAAGGCCTCTCTTTATGGAGTCTAGCGAGAGACACAACAAGGTCCAGAATGCAAGCCAGATCTTCGCTTCGCCCAACCCAACTGGGAATCAATATGTTCATGGCCATCCATACCCAATAGGCTATGAATATATAGAAGGGCTGAGGGCATTGACCATATTTACATGCGCCAGTAACATTTTCACCAAGCTGGCCATCTATGATTATACAGCCAAACCCGGACTGTATAATCCCCAAAGCAAAGAATTCGTGGCACAACAACTGCAGCTGGATCACACTGGTAGTCTCTCAATCATTGGTCTGGTTGAGTTTAGCAATCAGGCAAATTATGAGAGAAGCCGTTTTTGCAGCCCAAACCTACCAAACCCGGAATCCTTTTAGAACCTATATTTTAAAATCTCTTTCTGCTGGGGCCAGTGCCTGGTGCACGCCTGGCGCATGCGCATAACAAGGCAGCCGAGTTCATGCAGGCCTGAATGACAAGATCCCTTCTCATGTTTGGTGCAGGGGAATTTTCCGTCGTTTGATTCTAGCGGTGCATGCATGTAACAGGGCGCATGTGCAAGGCAAAAGATCATGCAGCTACGGGAACAACTTCCTCCTGTGGGTAACAAGTGTGGATGGCCGAGGCAAGGGGGCTAGTGATGATTGTCAAAACAAGCGAGAGACAAAAATTTGGCTTGGTACTTGGTGCAGGGGACGGATATGTACACGCTATTGTGTATCCACAATAACTGGGGAACTTTTCACCGCTGGAATCGAGAGATGGGCTCTCATTGTGGCTTGTATGGGTCTAGCGCTGGGAAACTATACACCGCTGACGGAAGATTCCCTTGCACCAAGCATGAGGAGGATATAGGCAGCTTCTAAAAGGATTCCGGGTTTGGTAGGATTTTAATGACCTTGTCATTATTTTAAGCTCAAAATACGCGTAGCCATTCTTTATAAGTCAGGAGGATAAGTGCAGCAAGCGGACCATATGCAGCAAGGCGGTACAAGCCATCACTTGCGATGGGAGCCCTTAATTCCAGCTGTGTATAGTTCAGAATCTGACATAGCTGAGGTTTTCAGCATCCGGAATTTACTATTTCTTATTGGCACAAACAAGGATGATTCTATTTTTGGGTAACCAATCATTTTTCTTTGATTTAACAAAATTATCAACCAGGAAACTCCGGGTGCAAGTATTCATTTGGCGCAAAGCAAGGATTTTCTATTTTGACCAATCATTTTTCTTTGATTTTAACAAAGTATCAACCAGGAACAAACATCCCAATTGCGCCTGATATTTACGAAACAATATAGAATTCAAAAGATTGTCCGGCATCATTTGTAGCTCGCCTAGCTAGAACAACCAACTTCACCAGAAATCACTTGCCTCTGACATTTTCGACCGTTTCTGTTGGCTTAAATCGCTAACCCTCAGTCTTTTACCCAACCGCCTCTCAGGCAGCGGTAGGCGAGAGACATCGCTGTCTTTGATTTCAGGGGACGGAGCCGGGTCTCTGTTGGGTCGTAAAGGGAGGATAATGCGGTCCAGTTCGTCTGCTGCGCCCTCAGAAGAGATCCGCTTTTCCCGGTACAGTGGCGATCTGCTGAGCTCAGCAGCATGATTCTCAAAATCCGTCCTGGCATAGAAATCGTCCTCCAGCTGGGGGGCGACCGCATGGACCCCAATACATGTGCAGATTAGGATCACGTTCGCAGCGAGAGAAAAATCATCACTTTTGGGTACACCAGGCGCTATATCACCAGCGAGCCTTCTCAGTTCTCTCATCAGAGCTGTGTACTGTTCCTTCACCATCTCTCCTGTTAATCTGATGCCTTCAAATGCCTCGAGGTCCTCTAAAGTAAGCGCGATATCAAGGTAATTGTCATCAGAAAGATCATCGGATTAATTGCAGGTTTTTTCCCAGTTGGTTGGCTGCCAGTTCATAATATCCAGCTGCCGTCTGAGGCGGTGGGCTGTGATTGAAGGCTGGGACTCAAGAAGAACAATGCATAGATGCAGAAGACTTTGGTGGACAGTAGGCCTTCCGGTCTATTGGAAACGGTGAGCGGAGAGGAGCAGCAGGTGAAATGGAAGTACCTACCAGGGTTGATGTTGCAGCATCGTCATTTGCCGTCAGACGCGCCAGGTTCTCGTCCAGTTCCCCTATCCCCTGCTTGTATCGTCCCTTGATGTACATCAAATCACCCCGAAGACGGAGCAGGTCATATGGCCCTTTAGATGGTTTAGCCATATCGAATGCCCATTTGATCATTTCCATCCTGCCTAGACAATCCCCGAGAAGACAGAGGAGGGAGTCGAGCGCCCAGCTCTTGGGGTGTTGGATGTTCTCCGTTTGTTGTTCGTGGGTGACGTTTCCCATGCTATCTCTGAGGATATGCAGACAATTCTTCAACTGCTTTAGGGCCTTCTCTACTTCTGCCTCCTTAGTCGTTTGAAGAAGGCATTGGAGCCCAGACTCGAATGCCTCGGCAAATTTCAACCATTCGGTCTTCACGATTTCCAGATACTCGATCATCACTGCATCGCAACGGTCACAGACGGCTGTAAATTCTCCTGCGAGCTCTTCGTTATTTATAATCTCCAGATATGCTTGTTCAACAACTTGAGGTGCTTTCCGAGAAGCAGCTGCAGCGTGGAGAAAGCCTTGCTCATCGCTGAGCCCTTTCAAAGAAATGTCTTGGACTCCGGAGACATTCGGCTTCTTGTTGGAGGTGATAAACAAATACTCTTTCCAACGAAACACATGGGCTCCATAGGCATACTGAGGGGATAGCCCAGTGCGAGGAATCACGGAGGGTTCCGGATCGTGAATGCGGTAGACATGGACTGTAGCTGCCATTACGGTACCTGATAGATTTGTGAGCAAACCTTGATACCTGCATTGCGGTGTGTAAGGGATTCTTTACCTATCTTCTATAATGCCAATGATGTTTTATGTGCGTGCCTCAGAAAAACTTCGTAGGAATAAAGGTTTGGTTGAATGATCCAGGGCAGACACACTGGGCAATCAAGCATTCTTATACCATACCAATCCGCCCACTCTTGCTTACAAGGAAAACGGAGAAGGGGAAAAAAAGAAAAAAAAAGTGTGATTAAACAATCTATTGGAATGGCTGCCCCTGCCATAGTTTTATATGCCTTGCCTTCAGCCCCTAGTCTGCGCTAATGGCCTACAGTACATGTACCAGTTATGGGATCAGTGCATGCAACCAGCGTGTAAATAGGATGCGTCTCATTTTGAGCAGCTCACCCCTCGATTCTTCGTGTTCTCCCGCCAGCAATGAGGCGTTATATGGGTCCCGGCGTGAAAAATCATCATTAAGAGTGTGTATGCTAATAGGCGAATGCGAATGAGTGAAGAATTAGGAGATTGGATGGTACTACGGCAACCCTAAATCTTTGTACCTGAACATAAAATTAACCAACAACATTATCCTCCTGCAGTAGCAAACCGGCCGAGAAAGTCATAAAATACATTAGCCAACGCCAAACATCACGGCCGGATCAGCAATACCCGAAGCCAAGGAGTTGAACCCCTTCCAAAGCTCATCAGACACTTTGAGAACGCGATAATTACTAAGGTGCAATGTCACAGTTAGGCCATCCAGGCTGAAATCCAAAACAGTGCTCTCTTGCCAGATATTTCCTGGCAAGTCTGAACGCTTGTAGAACACCGGTCGTTGAAGTAGAAGTGATGCACGACTTATGCGATCTCGATGAGTATATAACAGATGTGTTGACAGCAGCCCTCTCAATCGTGTGGAGAGGAAGAGGATGGTATCATTCAATCTGTTCATCAACAATTGCTGCCCTGCGTGTTGTCGGAGAGTCTTTACCAGACAGAGCGCGTATGGTAATGCCAGAGGTCCATCAACTCTAAGCTCGGAGAATGTGCGAAAAACACTGCGTTGCTTGTGCAGCTCTGAAGTATGAGCCTTCAGATACTCCAGCCGCTCTTGAAGTACAGGCTCTGAGATGAAAACAATGAAAGCCAAGGGTACATTTTCATCGCCGCGACATATCTATTTAGAATTAGCATTGGCGAAGTCAATTCCATTTGTATTCCATACATCACCACGGATATCAGAATAGTCTGAGTAGCAATTAGCTTCATCAATCGAGTACGGGTTATAGCTGGATGAATGGGACTGGAGATCGCGAGCCTCATCATTGGGAGTAGATTGAAACGGGGGCTTGCCGTCACCAGTGGTGGGGTTGTCCTTGCCTACGTTAGCTGCGCTCTCCTTAAGTAGGTGAAGAATAGCAGACTCACCATGGCAAGAGATTCCGTGGAAGCGTGGGTCCCACTTTGTAAATCCACGGAACGTAGACAGGGGGAAGTTGGGTCCTTATATGGCAATGGGTGTGAGCTGGAGACACCGTGGTTTTTGGCCGTTTCCCTTCTAAAAGCTTTATGCTGTCTCTTTACAAAACCGGACGACGCCTGGCTGGGGTCGAAGAATTTGAAGAGTATTTCATTCTGGGCGCCATCGCAGTGCAAACCCCTTTTTATGCAGTTGCGACAGGCAGGTGCTGCTTCATCACATTTGACATGCCTTGCCTTGCAGGTCAAACAACCAGTGAAATTTCTATCGCGATATCTTCGCTGGTGGGTTGAACATGTGGTTGACTGTCTCGCGCCGAGGGAATTGGGCTCCTGAAATTTCTTAGTATAGAGAGAATGGATAGGTGGTGTGGAACTCACCATCTCCACAAGACAAAATCTGCCGGGTTGGCTTGTGGGAAATATTTTAAGGGGATGTCAATGGAGGCAAGAACCGCTTCTTATCACCTTTGGAATGTTAAGAGCAGATACACCTCGCCCAACCGGAGCCGATATTTGCATGGCCCCTCGATTATCTCTCGGTGAACGAGACACACAAAGGGTAGCCATAATTAGTTGTGATGTCACCTAACCTATTGCAATATACATTCTACATCTTGAAATATTGTAACTGGCCTGAAAGCTGATAGGGTCAAAATCTAGAGAAGCTTTTTTATGAAGGCATTCTGCGTGCTTAAGCTGTCGGAAAAATTGTTGACCTGAAAGTCTGTGAAAATGTAACCAGCAAGATTCTATTTTTGGGTAACCAATCATTTTCCTTGCAACTAGTCAACAGAATAATGAAAGCATATTCCGCAATACTCATGCTCACATGCGCATTTGTTGACCGCCGAGCCAGTTACTTCGCAGTTGCAGCACTTGATGGCTCGATTAACCCAGGTCTGCCGTTTTTGTTGTTACTCTCTCCACTTCTGCTTCAGTTTAGAATAAGGCAACATCTCGAGCACAGAGTCTGTTTCTGTTTCCGGGTCTTCATCGATCTCGATAGCTTGGCTAAGCGTCGCCGGGACTGCGCGCGTTTGGTTGTTTGTCTGAGCATCATGACATCTATTCGCTTGGTTCGGTTTGTGTGATCGATCAACAGATCTTTCCCTACGCAGTCTCCTTTCGTGCAAGCACTCCGGACACGATGTATGGCCACATAGTTGACATTCCCCCCCGCTGCTAACATCCTCCCTACATACACAGCAGTAGAGCCTCAGACGTTGGCGAACTTCGGTTCGCCTTTTCCTCCCTATTTCGGTCTGTGGAACATGGGCCGTGGTTTGGCCGTCATCTCGATCTTGAGATCTGTCGGTTTTTTTGTTGGGTTCTGCATTTTCTCGCATCGCTAGGGTGCTTGTTCTCTTCCGCCTATCTGAGGTGTTAGCCACACAATGAAAAGAACATTCTAAGAAAACCATATACCTCTCAAAACCAGAATCACTTTGCTTGCTGCCGTGCCTAAAGTAACTGCGTACTCAACTGTACCTTCGCCAGACCATGCAAGCGAAGAATATCGTGTTAGCTCTGGAGAAATTGTGCTTGAGTCTTTACCTTTAATATCCTTCTGGGGTGATAAGCCCGTCAAACAGGATACTTATGGGTTCGCCTATTTTGTGAAGTAGAAGCATCCAGCCGCACGACAAGCTTCCCAGCAAGGACAAAGACAAGGAGGGAGCAGAAATGAAACCTGCAAGTTAGGTCAATTAATATTGTTATGGTATTAAATGGAAATAGCTAAAACTATTCAACATTCAAGCAATTAGAAGCAAGTAAATTTAGAAGAGCATGGGCCCTTGCTACACCAACTAGTATCCACAGGCAGCCACATTCCAATGCAATCAGAAACAGGAAATGGTGTCATTGCTGAAATTCGCTAACGGCACTGCGTTTCCCGGTTCAATAGACTGAGCGGAGATATTTCGAGCCATATAGGCACCAAGAGTGATAATCAACATCACCTAAGAGCCATGTCAGCACATATTGGAGCGAGAGCTGTGGTTTCACTGAACTTACTTCGATCCAGAAGGGCCATTCGTGGACGAGTCCACCTGCGGCAAACCCTGCTGTTACGAGAACAAGAAGTGCATGGATTGTGACTTCACGGATTACAGGCCCCTGAGATGGTATACCGCGAATTCCGCGCCAAAAAAGCAGACCAGCAATCGCGAGTACCGTGTAGTCGATAGACACGACCACAGCTGTACCTTTCACCGACGCCTCGTAGACGACCGAGCTAACTAAATGAGCACAAGGCCTATCAAGATCGGGGAGAAGAGCACACACACCATAAGATCAACCCGAGCTTTACCGCCGGGGACAGAAAACCATATCCTAGAAATAATCGATGCAGCAGGGCGTTCGTAAGAGGTCCAGCCTGGATTTTGGTCTGCCGAATCATCTAGACGTCGCGATTAGCGAGGACCAAAACAGGGGACTGGGAATAACATACCTCAAGGGCTAGCGGAAATGCTGTACATATTCCCAAGGGATAGTAGAATGCTGGCGTATCTGAAACAAGCTTTTAGCATTTATCCATCACCATCTCAGTAGAAGGGGCTTCTCACCCCCGCATCTTAAGCCTGATAGACCAATGCCAATGACCACAGCATTGACGCAGATAAAGAGAACGAAGATTGATATCTCAGGCAAACGGTGAGGCTGGGGGCGGTGAGCGGTAAGCAGGATGAGATGCACCATACTTAGCACGATGAGCGCCGCCGACAGAAGCGCATACGAGATGTTAGGATACATTTTGCAAGAAAAGGCAGCCAAGGTGGTCCATTTTGAAATGATCCGTCGGGGAGTGATGTCTTGTGGTTTATAACTATCGGGCGGCCACTCTCTGTGTGCCTCGAATGGGGCTTTTTCGATACAAGGGGATATGCCATCCTCACTCCAGCAAATTTTGGACGGAGTTGTCCAGGGTCTGTACAAATATGTTGTGATCCCTTTGCATGAGGATAGCACGCTCAAGCTGGCCATGTATATCGCACTCGCCTTCGTGCTCTCGACAGAGTCTGGCACCCCTGGCAGCCTTGCATACTCCTGGTCATTGGTCTTTACTGTGGCAGCCGCCATCCCGCATGTACTGCAATAGCCTGCGTGATGAGCTCGACAGCAGCGTGGACCAGGCTATGATACCCAATGCTGTCCGCATTGGAAGAGTAGCTGTCGTCGACGTATCAACTAGGAGGACCTTCCAATCCTGGCAAAGAGGAGGCATAGCAAAGCAGTGGAAGTTTGTCCAGAAGGGAAGCGATCTTGGCGCTATTGTCGTTTCTCTCAATTCGAATCGAGACATCATCGGAAAGGCACCATAGGCGCAGCAGAGCAGTAATCTCCGTGGGAAGCTAGAGGCAGGTACTCCTGGTTGGGGTCGTTGATCAAAGAGAGCTAGCGAGGGAACAGTAGTGCCTTTTCATGCACTGCTGAAAGCATCCATGGAGCCTAGCGCATTATTCATCGAAGCTCGGATTTTCGCTGTGGCCTTGATTGGCAGCCTAGACCATCGGAATGTGTTTTGTTGAGCGGGGTGGCAAGGGGACAGTGCACCTATAGTTTTTTCTGCGTAGAGAAAAAGGAGTTATGCTTCCCTGTAAAGCTCCACATCAATTTATTGGTTAATAGTCACATGATAATCCGGTGCAATTGCACCCGATTATCATGTGACTGCTCTGGTAACTTCACAATCTTCGGATCATCTTCTGTTTAATTCTCACATCACTCGTTTTAGCAAAATGAGCTCTTCAGCTGTATTAAAAATATTACCAGAGCTGTCTCCGTTAGCAATCCTTTCTTCAGAGGTATTTTCTTTCCTTTTTTCTTAATTAACCTAATGTCATGTTGATACTGATTGAAAATTTAGGTTTTATTACGTGAATTCCATCAGTTCTTACTTCGAGGGACTCCAGAGCAGTGTTGGAAGCTTATTCCCCCGCAGTATAGAGATCAATCGCAATATCTACAACATGTCTTGCCTACCTCTACCCGTCCTGTATCACTGCATCAATCTTTCCCGCGATTGCCTCCTATCCTCTCCCCTACAGCTTCTCTCAATTCCTCAAACACATCCTATGACCTCGCAGTGCAGAAAGATAATGGACGATTCACACCAATTTGCCCCCGTCCTAGCGTTTCTTCCTCTTCCTCTTCTGCTGCCTCGTCCTTAATTGCTTCCACTCATCATGACGACCCAACGCACAGCGCCCACCATTCCGTCGAGGCCGGACCATCCAAGAAGCGAAAAGAAATCGAAGCAAACATTGACGTGGATCAGCGGAAATCACCAGATGATGCATTGGCCAAATTAAAAAAAGTACAAAATTCATTCCATTGTGCGCCTTTGGCAATAACATCCTGCAGTAAGGTTTGGGAAAAAAGTGGCAGTCTTCTCAATCCATGCCTTCGAACACCAGCGGCTCGCTTATATGAAATTATTCGGGAAACAGCGGCTCGGCAAGATGATTACACTTATACAGAGCGTATTTCTCTAGTCTACGCAGTTCACGAAGTGGAAATTAAGGCTTCATTAGTCCCCAGTAATGGACGCAAATTCCTCTCTAGGGCATATTCTCTACTTGCACAGGAATGGGGTTGCACGGACGCGGAAGTAAAGCAAATTGCTAAACAGGGCAGACGCTACCTTGGATTGATGGAAAAGTGTGGCCCAGCTATTATATTTCAGTTAGATAAGTCAGCTTCTTCTCAGTGAGTTGATCTCTTCTCTTACTCACCCCAGTTAACTTCAACCTATTGATAATATGTAGTTGCTCTAATCATATGACGGACGAACAGCAAGAACTGTTCGCTAAGTGGGTTCAAAAGCAACAGCCTGAGGAGAAGGCAACCGAAAATTGCAATTTGGCAGCAGCGATAATGCTCGATGGATTAACATGCTATGGAAAGCGTGAATATACCTATGGCCTTCTCAGAGATGCGCAAAGCTCTGTGTTAAACATAGTGAGAAAATATTTGAGTTGGGACGACGATGGTACTCTTTTCATAAATGACAGCCGGTCCTCTCCCTCAATAAGTCATACAACCACCTGCGCCATTAGCTCTGACGCTTCGAACCCAACAAACAATGCTGGCGCTGAGAACGCAACCAACTACACAAATACCATGGCATCGAACTGTGTTAACAAGGCTTTAGACCCTACGACAAATATGAATGCTGACTTTGCAAACGCGGATATATCATTTAACAATACTGAGACTTTGGACCGAACTAGCGAAACAGATGCTACTCTAATCCCACAACCAACAACCAACATAGATGTTGACTTCACGAATGCGGGGCTTTCAAACTGGAACGGGCCAACAACCAACATAGATGTCGACTTCACGAATGCGGGGCTTTCAAACTGGAACGGGCCAACAACCAACATAGATGTCGACTTTTCAAATGCCGGGTATTCGATGTTGGACTTTGCCATTATACCGAACCTTGCGGCTCATATCAGCGAACCTGTACCCAGTAATTAATGCAGATTGCTTATCCTTTTACCTTCAACTCAAACCAGGTTCGTCTATTGTTGTTCTCGCTCAAAAAATCCAACCCGAGCTGCAAGTCTGCCATTCCCCGACTCAATAATGACGTTTATATCAGACTCCCCCATTATAAGGATTGAATGTGAACCGTCCCATGACAGTCTTTCAGGCTGCTCCCTTTTGTTTTCGCTTTTGTTTTCGCTTTTGTTTTCGCTTTTGTTTTCGCTTTTGTTTTCGCTTTTGTTTTCGCTTTTGATTTCGCTTTTGTTTTCGCTTTTTGATATAGATATGCTCGCCTCGCCAGTCGTAGCTATAGGGACAATCAACGCGGAATATATTGTGCCGAGTGTTGTACTGCCTTGAGTGAAAATAAGATCCATGTAGTGATGCGCAGCTCTTGAACAACCCGTGATCTGCTAAGTATATTAGATATGAACACACCTTTTAATATAATAAGAAACTAACTCTTTGATATTCTTGCGCGATTTCTGTTTTTAATGTGCTTTTTGAACAGGGTGCAGAGATGGCAGCTTTATTACTCGGCAGTTGAGCAGAAATGAAATAATTATAAATCTCATCTCGTGCTTTCCTTCTTTCTTCTTCATAGAGCTCGGGAAATGGCTCCAACTTCCAGATAATTCGGTCGTCCGACATATCTGAATGACTATAGCTTTAAATCTGGGGGAAATCGGTGGCACGTCTTTGCCTTTGTGCAGAGGATTAAAGGGGAAAAAAAGAAATGTCTTGAAATTGGCGGGGATTTGTTGCTGACTCTTCTTCAATAGGGCGGGGCATCGCCGCGGTGCCAAGTTTTTCCGACCGACCGTTGGCGACCAGCTGCGCAAAATCAATTCATCATGCGTCTGATCTGAAAACTGGCATGGTTTATTAAAGTGACTTTTATATCTTATGTTTTCTCATCTCCAGCTTGTTAGATATGTGAGAAAATACATCAGTTGGGAAGATAATGGTACATTCCACCCATCCAATCTTTCTAAAGGTAAGATTTCAACCCCGATCTCTGTGAGGACACATGTTTTAGGTCACATTTCGACCAATGATTTTGCAGAGCAAACATCCGTCAATCACCCGAAAACACAGAACCAAAAAGAAAACACACACAGCACATCCCAAACAAGCTCAATATCTGAATCCACTAACTTTTCGCCATATTCCAGCGGTCCTGCTACTGGGTGCCACAATGATGATTCTTCGAAGCAAGTGTGTAATGGTTGGCAGTTAAGTCCCATCGACTGCGCCGAATGATATTAGCATTTTTCAATAGAGGCGTAGTCAAATGGTGATGCACACGACACAAATTCAACCCTGTAAAAGGCCCCTCATGGTATTCAAATTCATACACAAAAATTCCAATTTTCTGTGGTTTCTTCGGCAGACGGGGTCTTTAGCAGGTAGAAAAGCTCTGAGAGAGAAATATGGCATGATATAGAACTCACTGTTAATCATAAGAAGAAAAGAGGGAAGGACTGCACCAACAGCATAGAACCTATCGTCAAGAACACAATATCTTCCATCAACAACGCGTCGACGCGCCGAAATCCCACCCTCCGAACCTCAAGAAACACCAAACATACAGCCCCAGTACAGAAAGGCATTTGTGGCCCCTTTCAACGTACGCCCCTTGCATGGAAAGTGGACTTGGTCCCTCCACTTTCTTGCCCGACAACAGTTTACGGAATCGGAGAGTCGGATCTACGCGACAGACACGGATTAGAAGGAACAGATACGACCAAAACAGCAATAGAATAGAATCTATCTTCAAGAACACAATACACCCTGCCAACAACTTGCCAATGCGCCGAAAACAACTCCCAAGCCTCACGAAACACCAAACATACAGCCCCATGAAGGGAGCGTCGGCCCTTTCACGTACGCCCTACGATGGAAAACGAACCCGGGGGTTTCATTTTCCTGCCCGACAATGGTTTACGGCAATGGAGATTGACAATCACGCGGTAGAAAGCAGAATAGAAGGGATGGATATCGTCAACAACAAAACATCCAACAACTTCGAACATACCTTCAAGAACAGGTCACATTGAACGACATTGTCAGCTTGTGCGCTAGTATGTATATATTGGAGCCCCAAGGAGACGCGGCCGGATTCACAACAACAAGCATGTCACATGCATACATGTATATAGAAGTCAAGGAAGGTCAGGAAAGGCCCGACAAGTGCATAGATGCAGAACTGATAGAAAGATTATTGGTAGAGGGGTATCTGAGCTTGAGCAGAAGGGAAGCAATTCGGACCACGAATAGCTTGGTCTCGGAAGCAAGAGCGGGAACACCCATGAATAAATCAATCAATCAATCAATCAAGCGTAGGTCATGACGGGCGTAATGGTCGACAGGATGACGGGTGTGTGGATGAGGAAGGCATATAGAAATTAGGTTGTTAACAAGATGTACCGCAAGAAAGAAACTATCGTCTATCGAGTTCAAAATACTCCTTGGGTTCTACCTCCTCGTCTGATATAGGAACGCCGGCAAGTAATGTATTCATATGCCTCATATATTCCTTGTCCTGATAAAATCTTGGAACCCTATACAATACTGTTCTGGCATTTCACAGAACTTGCACTGGCAAGGATGTCTCGGATACGGGAGCGAGCCTCCAATGAGTGGCTTCCTGAAGCTGCACAACATGGACGCGGTGCTGAGCTGCAACGTTCTCTTAACGGCCTAGGGATCCCACTCAGGTGGTGCATCTTCAGGGTAGTGGTTCAAGCAGCGAGCTTGGCAGTGAGGGATCCAGTGGTTTTGGAGGTGGCAGTTGCTGCACCAGTGGCCTCGTGGCAGTGGAAACCGCGGTTGCTTCATCGACGAGCTTGAGAGATTCTCTCACTGGTCTCAGAGTGTGCTATTTGCAAGTGGAGTGTAGCCATGCGACAAAAGATGGATTCTAAAAGCTGCCCCACAACTTCCCTTCTTCTAGTGATTACTAATACCAATGCGTTCTTCCCTGGCAGCCAACACGGCTTTAACACATTTCCCATGGCGGGTTGGGTGGGGTTCATTAATCCTAAATTGGAATAGCCGACCTCCTCACAATACAGTTTCAATATTTTGTTCGCGCTTATTACCCTTCCGTCGCGATCAAATAGAATTAATCTTCGCCTGGTTCCCTGCTCGGCGGCTCTATCCGTTCCCACATTCGCGTTGTCCGTCAAAGCCAAGCCGGATCAACCCTTTTGACCATAATCCTCTTTTACATTCCTCGTACCCATTTCGCTTCTTGATATATAACTCTGTATCCCTCGCTAATGGCCGATAACAATTCACCAGACTACGAGGCTCTCTACCGCAGAGCGGAAGCGGAACGAAGGCGGGAAGCAGAGTTGCGAAGACAGGCAGAAGAGCGAGAGGCAGAGGAAAAAGTGCGCAGCCAGCCGACAACACTCGGAGAGCTCATCAAAGGTTGCCATGATTCATTCTCCCGGCCTTTGCAGGTTGGAACGCCAACCCGCTCCACGAAGGGGAGTATTCCACCACCCACTGGGAAATACTGCCCAACGAGCCTTCGCTTTTGGTCAAGTTGTCCGGTTCAACTGCAAGAAATTTATGATTCAGTTTCCACTTACCTCCAACCAGCTGGAAAAGACGCACCTCGGCTATTCACATCTCTTCTTGTGCTAAATGAACTTGGTCGGCGGCATTCTAGCCGAAAGCTACGAAGTGAAAAGGATCTGGAACACTACGAGCGAACCGCTGTGGAAGATCATGTCCATGATATCATAGCCGAGCTATGCAAAATACCTGATGCCCGAGAGAGATTCCGGCTTGGAGATGGGATCCTGTTTGAAAATCATGAAAATCTCCTACAGACATCAGAAGAGTCAGATGTACAGCTGCTTGATGAATCCGGCACAAAACATCCCAAACCAGATTCATTCTGTATTCATCGAATCAACGATTCCACCAATACTTTGATTACGACAGTCGAGTATAAGCCGCCACACAAGCTCTCGGTTGAAAATCTCCGAGCGGGTCTTCGATCGATGAAGCTCTGGGAAGAGATTGTTCAGTCAGACACAATCCCCAAGAGTGATGAGCTGAACAAGGATGAAAAGCTGAGATATAATGCGGAACAGCTGACTTGCTCAGTTTTGGTTCAGGAGTATCATGTCATGATCCAAGCTGGACTGGAGTACTCCTATATAACTAATGGATTTGCTATCGTTCTTCTTCGTGTTCCATACAACGACCCTAGTACGCTCTATTACTATCTCTGTGAACCAAACATGGATGTGATTTCAGAAAATCCTGGGGTCTTTTATCAGTCAAAGACAGCTATTGCCAGAATATTATGTCTCTGTCTGATGTCCTTTCTCTCGGATATCCGTGACCAGAAGTGGCGGAATGCTGCAAGATCCCAGCTCCATATATGGAAGACAAGTTTTGACTTTACACGGTCGCAAATCCCCGATGACGAGCTGCAACAAACTCCTCCAGGATCGGAATATGCAAGCTCGGAATATATGCCCTCTGAACATCTGCCATCGTCTCCATTACAGCCCGGCCATCGAGTTTCTACCCGATCTCAAACCACCTGTGCACCAATGGATACCTCGCCTTTGAGTGATCATATGGATTCTTCCGACTCCGACTCTAACCAAGCAGCGCACGGCCGGAAGCGGGGCTTCAGCCAAGTGATGTCCTCCCCGCCCAGCCAGCGTTCATCGGCGCGCCCAGTAGGTCCTAGGCCATCGAGCGGCCAGAGCCAACACACGGCACGTTACTGTACGCAGCGATGCTTATTGGGTTTGCAACAAGGAGGTGAATTGGACCATCAATGCCCTAATGTTTCTCTCCACCGGCGAGGCCAGAATGATGATCGACATTGTATCGATGCAAGGAAGCTTGTGCAAACACTGAATGAACAGCTCGATCGTGACCTTGATCATAACTGCACACCATTTGGGACTTGTGGATCGTATGGTGCACCCTTCAAGATCACTTGTGCTGCATATGGCTACACTCTTGTTGGAAAGGGGACAACAGCCGGGCTATGGAAAGTTGTCTCACGTGAAGCAGAAATATACCGGGTTCTTCAGAAAGCACAGGGTTCTGCTGTCCCTGTATTTCTGGGGACGATTGATTTGAAATTGTTCCTTTTCCTCCATGGTGCTGGGGACATCCGCCATATGCTTCTCATGGGTTGGGCGGGGGAAAGTATAGAGAACGTCAAAGACAAGGAAGTGCTAAGTCGTGAGATTTCCAGGTCGAAGAAGGAAATCCGCATGCTGGGAGTGGTACATAAAGACCTGCGGTCTGCCAACATGTTATGGAATGACGAGCTGCGCCGGGTCCTGATCATAGACTTTCACCGGTCCGACATAGACAGGCGCCCGATGAAAAAGCGGGTTGGATCCTTGAAAAGGCCACTTCATCAGGTGGGCATGTCGAAACGACCCTGTAATAACAAGGGCTTGACTGGGCGTATCTCAGGGTCCCAGAGTAGCGCCGGAGTGCTAAAACAGTGTTGAGGAGAATTGCAAACGGGCCCTTGAGAAACAGCGCGAAGAAGGTGCTGTTGCCTTCCTTGGTCAAATTGTTCTTCCTTTTGCCTGTGGATTGATATTTCACCAATCAATTTTCCTATCATATTTTTAATTTTCACAACTAAGCTACATAGCAAGCGTGGAAAGACCCGAATGTTTAGGTCTAGAATCCAGTAACAGCAACTCGTACCTGAATTACACATCAACCAGCAATAACAATTGGGTTTCAGAAAAAGTCACTTTGTCTTCCGCGTCTGATTTTTATCTCACGGACAGCCACAGCAGGGAACCAACAATCTCAATAACTCGATGTCCCTTTCCTTCCATTCATTACTCATTTTCGACGTACCTTGCGATCAGCAATAAAGCCTACTGGATAGGTAAATACTGCTTACTGGCACTCAAATGTTACGCGCTGCATCCAGATCTTCTCTCACGGAGGCCCGTAGATCGGCATCATATTGTTCTTTACTCCGTGTTTCTATGTCCGCTTAAATATTTTCATCATCTCAAGCACCTGGCTATGGATCTCCATGATTTCGTCTTGCTGAGACGTATCGCCGCCCTTGACGTCTGAGGAGGTTGACAAAGGTTTTCGCACGCCATGGTCGGCATTCAGCATTGCGGCGAATGCTTTAAAACTTCCGATTGCAAGTGAGAAGAGCGAAAGGGTTTCTGTTGGGACACAAATTTCCAGTCGATTTGCAGAGTAATGATTTATTACGGTTAAAATATATAGAGAGAGAGAGATCCAGAACCGGGGAGGTTTTTATACTTCTCTCCAGAGCTAGACAAATAGCTGAAATTGTTCGAAGAAAAACCTAAGTGAGAGACAAAGAAAAGAGGGGGAAGAGCAAACAAATGAAGACACGAACAAAGGAACACACACAAAGAAAATGCCATACCATGGGCGGGAATGTGATAGGCAATATCAATAGGGCTCCTGGGCCGGAATGAAATATGAGAAGCAAAATAAGATCAAACGAAGGGAACAGAAGCAAACAAGAAAACAATCAAGACAGGCATAGTAAATTGATATGCCCCCTGCGTGATCTCCCATTGACTTGCCCCCTCGCGCGCTGATCCCAGGATCTACTACCTTTTCAACCAGCCACCCCTACTCCCTACTCCATGGAGAGACACTGGCGTGGGACACACCGGAAGTGGCCACTTCATCCCATGGCAGCGTTGTAGCAGCCGTTGGGATATTCTCGCTCAACGGCATCCATGTTTTCTCGGCCTCGACTTCGACTTCGGCTTGCGAGTTGGCGGCGGGGTGCGATGCTTCAGCTTGGTGGAGTACCGCACCTGCAGAGTCGCCTTGGATCTGCCCGGGAAGCGCTTGGTGATCTCATCCCATGGCTCGCCGTCCTCCTTGAGTTCCTTCAGCAGCGCGTCATCCTCTGAGGTAAATGGCGCACGTCTACCGGTCGCGACAGACGGCCGCCCTTCTCGGCCGGGGCTCGACAGATCGTTTGCATTCGCCGACAGGAGCCGGCCGGTCTCCTCGTGACAGAATGTTATAGTGTAGCACACTCTGGGCCCGGCAACGTAGCTTGAAAGGAAGCCGGAGACTGGTATGTCGTCGCCCGAGCGGTTTGTCACTGCATCATCTAGTGAGACAGTGGACACACTGGAAGAATCACTAGCCGGGTTTTCACTGTGCTTCGTCGTCTGATTCCGTTTCCCTGGCTTATCATCTACCACAGCAGCCGGAGAGGTATCTCCCGTGCAAGCAGCAGAAGTGACGACGGACCTGGAGGACCGCCGCGTCCAGAGTTTCCGCCGCTTGCGTGGCCGCCTAGCGACATGGTCATCATCATCACTTTCCCGATACGCCTCATCGTTGTCGCCGCTGCTGCAGTCGCTGGAGTGATTGAAGTCACTGTTGTCGCTGGGGTCGCTCCTGTCGCCTCGGCCCTGTCTCTCCTCGAGAGCGTCTGGCGGAGAAGGAATCTCGACTCGAACATCCGTGCGTCGCACGCGTCCCCGCCCCATCAGCCTGCACTCTTTCCCAGCGCGCTTTCCATGGCTGACGGGAGTTCCAGGCTCCGATTTGGCTCCCGTGCTGGAAGGTGTACTCACAATCTCTCCGCCCGTGGCACCGGCGCGCACATCGAGACCAATAGTCCTCCTGGATTCATCATCGTTCGGAGGATTTTCTCCATCACTCTCCAAGTCCACGAGGATCGGTTGTTCTGCCGAAGGCGGTGTCAGAAGGCAGAGCACCTCAGACAAATCAAAAGAAAGATGTGGGAGCTGACTTACCCTTGCAGCCTACTGATCTCGGTAGCGTCGCTAAACTGTACGGGTGTTGGTCAGAGAAACCTACCAGGCCAGGCGGAGGACATGAGGCTTTCGGTTCACACTCGTCGAGCGCCGGATCGTGACCGCGATCGGAGAGAGGAGGGGTGATTTTCTGAGGTGATGATCGATCAGCCTTCCGTGAGGGTCTATCGCTTGAGGCTTCCCGGCGGGGCCTGGCGTCCGGCGCGGTTGAACCTGGAGAAAACATTTTGCACCTTCGATCAGCAGATCTCCCAGCAGATCTTCACTCGAATGAAGGGCGCTTACCTTGGATCACGCCGGCGACACGGGCCCTGGACGGCTCAACATCATCCCGGTCGGTGGAACTGCGACTGCTCATGTCAACCACCTCCACGACGTCCAGACGTTCCAGCGCAGTATCGAACTCGTTCAACGGAGCGTTCGATGCTCGAACGCCGATCTGGCTGTCCGGACCACCTAGGTTATCTCTACGGAAGCGAAGAGGGGGCCAGGGAGGTGAATGGGTGTTTAACAGTGGTTCAGGGATGATGAATTGTGCTGGGGTCATAGGAGTGGGCTGGAGAAGATGGTGTTCACGAATAGAGGGCTTGGTGGGGAGAGGCTGGAGAGGCTTGGGAGGCTTGGGGGGAAGTGGGCAGTACGGGATGATGAAGTCCATATCCACGGCCATGGTTATTAGGGAAGGGAAATCGTAACTGGCGAGGGTTAAACTTCACAGTGCATATTATTTGTTCTCTCACGTCCAAACAGACCGGGAAAGCAGGCCCCTTATATAGACTCTATGTACATTCTCCGCATCAGCGAAAGGGCGAAGAATTCAGTTCCAGTGATCCCGGCTACAAGCACAGCAAGGATGAATCGGCGACACCGAAACCAAGTAGTAGCTCCTCCATTCACACCCTGGGAGAAAAAAGCAAAGATAGAAAGTAAAGGAGCTCGCTGAATTGCGATTTTGCGCTATACGTATTCTCCATCAAAGCCACGTCAGCTGGGCAGTGGTGCGTCGCCACGGATCGAGGTAACCCTCCCGATACAGCTATCGGCCCCACGGCAAGGCAGACTTTGGAGTGCGTATGGAAGGTACGAGACGGCCGATTCGCGTGCAGAGAAAATTCGAATCTGCCTCCGGAGAAACCGCCAGGAGGGAGCGCGGCCCCCACAAGACCCGATCTTCATCCCTGCATTTTTGATCATTTTTTTGGTTTCCCCCTCCCGTGCGCCAACCGTCGTTGCATTGGAGCGGCTGAGTCGCGCAGGGATTTGGAAATTCGACTATCGGATAGGAAGCCACTGTTGCAGAAATTACCCCTCTCTTGTGGATTCGCCAGGTTTCTCCGGAAGAGCCGGAGATGCGAACCATCGCAGGATCCCCCTGGTCCGGGGCAAACGAGCGTCACAATCGTCGCCGGGGTCGGAGCAATCTAAACGGGAAGCAGGAGGCGCAGCTCCATGTCGCCGCGGAGATAGCTGCGATCGAGGCGACCTCCCTTACGCTGCAAACGCCCCCCAATTCGCCGAGTTGATGGGTTGGTGGTGGGATGGTGGGATCCAGAACAGACGAGGCTACCACATGCAGGAAAACCGGCCGACGTGCATACGCACTGGGTGCCACGTAAGACAGGCCTGGTGCTCACTGCCTGCGTCCGTTGGGGTGAGGGATTTTCGCCATTGGCCGCCGGCCCAAGCGAGGGGAATGAAACGCATGTCGATCCTTCGCAAACCGAGTATGGAGGTGGAGCGAGTATCCAAGGCGTTTTTTCCATCACGAGCTGCAGTTCGAGCACAGGGAAAGAAACACGTCACAGAAGTGGGGATGGGGGGACGTTGTTCTCGGACAGGTAATTTCCGGTACGGAGGCGCAGCTCGTCTGGATCATCCCGGGTCGACAGATGGAATCAGAAACCACGCAGCACGCATGGCTGTCGGAGGAGACAGGTGTCTCAAGGGACCTCTTCCCGGTGATTTTCACAGGAACGGACAAGAGGCGAAACGGAGGGTAAACGGGCTCGCGGCGCAGGTGCTTGCCTGTCGGCCTGCTCGGCCTGCTCGGCCATCAGCCAGAAAGAATCAACACAGCACAGCACAGCAGATCCCTCCATGCAGGTCCCGGCCACAGGCGCTGGAGCGGAGCGAAGCGATGCGACGGCAGCACCAGCATCATC